TTTTTTTTTTCCACTGTGAGAGCCCTGGGTACCTTTACCCATTGAGCCATTTTGTTGGCCCCACTAATCATCTTTTTTTTTTTTTTTTTTTATGTGCGTTAGTGTGAAAGTGTCAGATCCCTTCGAATCAGCATTACAGACAGTTGTGAGCTGCCATGTGGTTGCTGGGAAATGAACCCAGGTCCTTTGGAAGAGCAGACAGTGCTCTTAACCACTGAGCCATCTCTCCAGCCCCCACTAATCATCTTTTGAAAGATTTATTGATACATAGATGGGGGGGGCTGTCTAATGATGGATCAAAGATCTAATCTCCAGACACTAGGGTCGGGGATATTTTAACCACACATGAACTGGTATGTTGATGTTAATTTTGAGAGTGTGACAAAATAAGCCATTTCAAAAATTAAATGTGGAACAGTAAAAACATCTGAAAGAATAAATGGGATTTAATATATTATAACAGATTATAATATAGGAAGTTGTCAATAGATGAGGATATTATGCTAAAGACTTATTCTGTAATGTCTACATCTTACTTGTATCACATTTCTCACTGCGACCAAACACCTGAGACTAATGCAACTTAAGGGAAATTTTGGCTCACAGTTTTGAGTGCAGCCAATCATGATGGGGATGTAAAGCAGCTGGCCACACCCATGATTAGGAAGTAAAGAATGATAAATGATGGTACTCTGCTTTCTCCTCATACTCAGCCCTGGACCCCAAACTATTGAATGCTGCTGCCCACATTCAGGCTGGCCCTTCCCTTTTCAGCTAAACCTTTCTATTTTTAAAAGATTATATGTATAATTTTGTTAAGTATATCTGTGTTTGGAGGCCAGAAGAGGATGTGAGATTGCTTGGAGCTGGTATTACAGGCAGTTTTAAGCCACTAAACATGGGTACTTGGAACCAAACCTCTGGAAGAACATTAACCACTCTTAACCACTCAGTCGGAGTCTTGCCAGTCCGTGAGCTTTTCAAAAAATACCTTCATAGGCACATGCAGAAGATTGGTTCCATGTTTTGGGGGGATTTTTGCTTTTTAAAAAAATTAAAAAAAATTATTTTCTGTGCATGAGTGTTTTGCCTATATATGTCTTTATACTATGTGCTTGCCTGGTGTCCTTAGGTGTCAGAAGAATGTTAGATCCCTTGGAACTAGAGTTAAGGATGGTTGTGAGCCACCATGTAGGTGCTGGGAACCCAACCTTGGTCCTTTATGAGAGAAGTGTCCTTAACTGCTAAGCCATCTTTCCAGTGCTTGCTTTAGTTTTCTTTTCTTTTTTTAATAGAATAAGTTATTTATTTACTTTATGTCCTGATCCACTCCCTCCTTTTTCCCAGCCCTTCCTCCCCTTTTCCTCAGAAAAGGGGTGGTTACTCCTTTTATTTATTTATTTGTTTGTTTATTTATTTATTTTTTCTGAGGCAGGGTTTCTTTGTGTAAGAGCCTTGGCTGTCCTGGAACTTGTTCTGTTTACCAGGCTGGCCTCACACTCACAGAGATCCATCGGCCTGCCCCTGCCTTCATGCTGGGATTAAAGGCATGTGCCACCAACCACCTTGCTCCATGGTTCTTTTTTAGAAATATTTACTTATATGCATTGGTGTGTGCCTGCATGTATGTCAGTGTGAGGGTGTCAGATCCCTGGGAACTGGAGTTACAGACAGTTGTGGACTGCTGGGAATTGAGCTCTGGTCTTTTTTGAAGAGCAGACAGTTCTCTTAATCGCTGAGCCAGCCCTCCAGCCCTCCATGGTGATTTTTAATCAAGCTGACAGGAAGAATAACTGTCATATTACCACACCCTCTGAGATTATTCTTTTTTCTTTTTCATGTGCATGTGTGTATGTATGTTAATGTGTATGGGTGTGTGCACGCACACACACATGTTGAGGCCTAAGGTTGGTGATGGGAATCCTCCTCAATCACTGTTTCACCTTATTCTTTGAGGCAGAGTCTCTCAGTCAACCTCAGAGATTCTTGATGAGGTTAGTCTCCCTAGCTAGCTTGCTTTGAGGAATCCTTGCCTTCCACCTTCCAAAGCTGCAATTATAGGTAGTGCCACATCCGTCTGTCATTTACATGAATTCTACAGATCTGAGCTGCCTTCTCTTGCTTGGAAGTGCTGTAACTGCCAAGCCATCTCCTCAATCCACTATTTCTTTTTTATATTTGGCAGACTGTGTAGTCTGGTCCCTAAAATTCTTTCCAATTCAAGAATTTTATCAATTTTATCATTATAGAAGGACCTGGAGGGGACAGGAGTTCCAAAATGGGACCAAGAGCCAAAACCCTCCTGGGCCCTGGGGGTGCCACAGAGACTGATACCCCAACCAAGGACCATGCATGGAGAGGACCCAAAACCCCTGCTTAGATGTGGCCCATAGACTCAGTCTCCAAGTGGGGTCCCTAGTAAGGGGAGCAGGGGCTGTCTCTCCAACATGAACGCAGTGGCAGGCTCTCTGATCATCTCCCCTTCCTGGGTACAGCCTTGCTAGGCCACAGAGGAAGACAATGTAGCCAGTCCTGATGAGACCTGATAGGCTAGGGTCAAATAGAAGGGGAGGAAGACCTCCTCTATCAGTGGACTAGGGGAGGGACATAGAAGGAGAAAAGGGAGGGAGAGAAGGTTTGGGAGGAGAGGAGGGAGGGGGCCACAGCCAGGATACAAAGTGTATAAATTGTAATAAGCAATAAAATTTTAAAATAATTTTATTGTTTTTGTCATTCCATATATCATAACTCTTAAGAGAAAGTCATGAAGAGCCTTTAGAAACTCAGTACCAATCTAACTGATCTATAGACAGTTAAGAAAAATGTGCTCGAGAGGTGATGACACTGATTTTTGTGTATTGTTCAAGATTATATGATAGACAATGTGTCTTCAAAATTTTCTATGAAGATGTCTCATTCAATCTTTCCTTTTCTTTATTATTATTATTATTATTATTTTTTAGCTTAAAGAAAATTTACTGCACTCAGAGAAAAAACATCAGGAGACTCTTAGAAGACTAGAAACCAGATTTTTTGAAGAAAAGGTATGACTACTAGTGTTAAGAAATGCTTTGTTTAGTAGAACAAAAGTCTGTGTATATGCATTCCGAGCATTCCAGCATTCCTCTTGGTATCTTGCTAGAAAATGTTACCAAGGATCAGGGAGTAAGTGCAGTGTTGTGCACCCATACTTGTAGCACTTCAAGAGGCAGAGGCAGGAAGATCTTGAGTTCAAAGCCAGCTCTTGAGTTTCATATCAAGTTCCATGCCAGCCTGGGCTATATACTAAGGCCTGCCTCAAAAACAAACAAACAAAGTAGAATAGAAATGAAGGAAAACAAATATTTATATTCTATAAATTCCAGTATCTAATCCTTTTTTTCTTTTCCACTTAGAGATTTCTTCTTTAATTTTCAACTCATACATAAAAAGTAAAATTTGTACACACTAATGGTATATCATGCAGTGTCTCAATATATTTATTCGGTGTTTAAGTTAGGTTAAATATATCTTTTCAACTTTTGTTTTGTTTTTGAGGTAAGGTCTCTTGTAGCCCAGGCTGGCCTCAAGCTCCCCATTTAGTGGGATTCTGCATTGAACTCTTGATTCTTCCACCTCCACCTTCCAAGTGGTGGAGTTACAGGTGTGTATATCATGCCCCATTATTTCGGCTATCTGTCTCATACACGTACCATTCATGATGGAACTCCCAAAGTATTTTCTTCTAGCTTTTTAAAACATATTGCACATTGTTATCAATAGTCAAGCTGCTTGTGCAATAGCGTATCAGAAACTGGTGCTTGTACTCAACTATAGCTTAGTACCCAAACCCACATTTCTCCATTCTGTTCCCCCTCGGCAGGCTAGTTTTATGTCAACTTGACACAAACTAGGGTAATCTGAGATGAAGGAACTTCAACTGAGAAAATGTCTCCATAAGAAGGTCCACCCCATTGTGAACGGCGCCATCCCTGGGCTTGTGCTTCTGAGTGCTACAAGAAAGGTTGAGGGAGCCACAGTGAGCAAGCCAGTAAGCAGCATTCCTCCATGACCTCTGCATTAGTACTTGCCTCCAGGTTCCTGCTCTGACTTTTCTCAGTGATGGACTGTGATATAGAAGTGTAAACAACCACCCCCCACTTTTTTTTGGTCATGGTGCTTCATCACAACAATAGAAACCTTAAGATACCGCTTCACTTTCCCTGGCCTCCATAACTACCATTCCATTCTCAACTTCCCTGAGATTATCTGTCTTCCTTTTGTGATGCCGTGGATTGAACATAGGACATTATACATGGGAGGGAAGCACTCTACCACTGAGCTATACTTCCTGCCAGAGATAAACCTTTTCAAAGTGTTTTTCTGAGGGAAATCATGTAGTACTTGTCTTTCTGTGTCTTGCTTATTTCACTTAGCACAATGATCTCTAGTTTTTTGTTTGTTTGTTTGTTTGTTGTTCTTTGAGACAGGGTTTTCTGTGTTAACAGCCCTGACTGTCCTGGAACTCTGTAGACCGGCTGGCCTTAAACTCACAGAGATCCACCTGTATCTGCCTACCGAGTTCTAGGATTAAAGGCATGCGCTACTACCATCTGGCTGATCTCCAGTTGTATTCAAGTTGTCATAATTGACAGGATTTTGTTCCTTTTTATGACTACAGCACTTCATTATGTATAAATTCCACATTCATCAGTTAGTGGGTAGGTACTTAGGTTGTTTCTATTCAAGAGTCTTGAAAAATCCTCAAGAGAGACTGTCATCTTGTGAAGGCTTAAAGCATTTCCCTTTTTTTTTTAATTAAAAAAAATTGATTTTTTGAGATGGGGTCTCACTATGCAGCCTTGACTCACCTAGACTCAAAATGTAAATCAGGCTGGCCTTGAACTCATAGATACTCCTCCTGCCTCTGTTTCCTGAGTGCTAGTTACTATAGGTGTATGACATGTTTCATTTAGCAAAAACTATCCTCCAGTTTCTAAGATAGATGTCTCTTTTCTTACTTTATGTTCGTGCCATTGTTCTGGCTTACTTTTCTGTTGCTGTGTTAATCACCATGATCAAAAACAACTTCGAGAAGAAAGGGTTTATTTCAGCCTACAACTCCCAGGTCACAATCCAACATTGAGAGAAAGGAGGGCAAGAACCTGGAGGCAGAAACTGAGGCAGAAACCATGGAAGACTACTGCTTACTAGCTTGCTTTCAGGCTCATGTTCTCCTACCTTTCTCATTCAGCCCAGGCCCATAGGGAGCTCAGCACTTCTACATGAATTAGCAATCAAGAAAATGCTCCAAAGACATGAGCACAGGTCAGTCTGATGGTGGCAGTTTTTCAGTTGATCCCCTGGAACTGGAGTTACAGACAGTTGTGACCTGCCATGTTGGGTCCTGGGAATTGAACCTCAGTCCTCTGGAAGAGCAGGTAATGCTCTTAACCACTGACCCTTCCTTCCAGCCCCATACTGTTCTTTTTACTGGCTCTTTCCTCACCAGTACTTAAGAATTAATGTAGGTCACATGAACAGAAGTATTATTTAATTTTATGTGTATGTTTGTGCACCCTGAAGGAACCTACGGATGTCAGAAAAGGTGTCAGACCCCCTAGAACTGAAGTTATAGATGGTTGTGAGCCATCATGTGGGTGCGGGGAACTGAACCCAGTCCAGTGTAAAGCAGTAAGAAAGAATTCTTAATCACTGAGGCATCTCTCCAGCCCCCAAACCAAGTATTCTGTTTAATGCTAAAGTAATTACTTTGTGATATGAAATATATGTTGTTAGAAGCACAGTTTTGTATTTAAACATCCCATATTTTATTTCTAGCACCGCTTGGAACAAGAGGCTGAGAAGAGGATAGTAATCTTGGCAGAGAGAGCCCACCATGAAGCTGTGGTGTAAGAGACTGTTGCCTTTGTCACATAGTCGAGCTTCCTTGCTGTCTTCTATTTTTAGCTTGTCTTTCTCTGTCTCTTGGCAAGCTTTCTTTAATTTTTGTCTGCCCCTATTCTCTTTGTGTCCCCTCCTCTCTACCCTCCACCCTCTCTGTAACAACGTGATAGAGTAGCAATATCATACTCTTTGAAGGGTCTACACTTTGAAGTTAGGCCCTGGCTACATACATGCATGCTGATTAACCACTAGAAAATTTCTTTTTTAATTATTATATTTACATAAGTATGTGTACTTGAGGGTACACTAGTGCTACAAGTTGAGTGTGGAAGTCAGCTAATTTGCAGGAAGTCAGTTCTCTGTTCCACCATGTGGGTTCCAGGTCAGTAGGCTTGGTGGCAAGTGCCTTTATCCACTGAGCCATCTCATTGGCCCTGTTAGAAGAATTCTTAATTTCCTTGAAATAAATTTCATGAAAGAAGTTGGGCCATCTAGGCATGGTGGTAGACACTTACAATAATTCCCGTGCTTAGGAGGCTGAGGGAGGAGGTCTACCAGTTCTAGGCCAACCTAGACTATATAGTGAGACCCTGTTACAAACAAATGTAAAATAGGTCCATAATAGCAACTTTGCAGGATCGTTGGAAGATATATTTATGTGAGTAACACTAAAGTGTGTTTAAGTTAACACATGAACCCCAGGTCTCAATGGTTTATATCTTGTTAATGTAATGATCTAATGTAGGTCCGTCAGCTTTCCTTAGATGATGACTTAGGAACTTGGGCTACTTGTACCTCTGTCACCTTAGAGGTTCTTTAGGTCTAGTCATAGGAAAAGGAATGGAAGAGGACATGGAAAACTGGTGCCACTTTACTGTGTTCAAGGTGCTCGGTTTGAAAACCCAGACATGCACATCCACTCCATCACTGAGCTATATACCCGGCCTCTTTTTACTTTTTGAAACAGTCTCACTAATTGCCAAGGCCAGCCTTGTACATGCTATGAAGTTCAAGCAGGCCCTGAACTTGTGATCCTTCTGCCTCAGGTTCCTGAATAGTTAGGATTAAGGTGTGCCACTGTTCCTAGATTTTTTTTTTTTTAAAGAAAAAGGGTCTTGCCATATAGCTTAAGTTAGCAACCAACTCACACAATTATGAGCAGCTAACACATAGTTTTTCATTTTACTGATGAAGAACTAACAAGGCCTCCATCTACCCATTGAATAGTTACTCATAAGTTAAATAGTGGTAGTGTTATGTGTGTCTCATGTTCGGGCCTCCCCCAATTCTGGTGCTAGGGGTTAAATCCAGGGACTTGCACATGCTAAACAAGTATTCTCTCATGAATAATGTTTGAGGGTAAAGCTGTCATTGCTTTTCTTAGTTTTAAAACTTAGGCATGAGCCAGGTGTGGTGATGCCTGCTCTTGACTCCAGCACTCCAGAGGCAGAAGGAGGTGCATGTCTGTGATTTTGAGGCCAGTCAGGTCTAGAGTGACCCTACTCGAAAATCCACCCCCAACTTCCCTACCCCCCCCCACAAACCCCTGCCTGCCACAAGAAACTTAAAAATATATATATCTATCTTTCAGACAGTTGAATTCTGCTGGAAGAAATGTTTTTAAAGAGAATGTTTATCTTCACAAGGCGCTTACATACCACTTGAAGGAAGCTGAAGCTCGGCAGAAAAGCTCTAAGAAGTTACAAGAAAGTCATTCCTGCCTTTTACAACAAAAGGTTCCCACTCTTATTTAGATTTCTTTCCTTCCTTCCTTCCTTCCTTCCTTTCTTCCTTCCTTCCTTCCTTCCTTTCTCTCCTTTTCTCTTTCCTTCTCTCTTTCTTTTTTTAGGAATATGTTGGTAAATACCAAGAATTAAACATAATGATGATAAGGACAATGTTTCTCTTTATCTTGATAATTGCCTTATCTGAAATGATTAATTACTAAATGACTTTAAAGACACATTAGGCATGACTTTACACATATATCAGAAATATAAACTGATCAGAAATATGACTCTGATCCTCATACCTTCAGAATACTCATTTTGCTTTGATTTTGTTGGACCCTAAATCATCTAGGAATTGGATTGGCTGAAACAGACTTGACATTAGTGGTATCAGCACATAAAGGTTTAGTCTTTTACCTAAAGGACACTTGAAGGAGAGCAATCCAGATCAGGACTCTAACATATAGCTTATATCCTTAACATCTTAAAAAAGGTTTCAATTTTTGTTTTGTCTGTGGGGGTGTTTTGCCTGCATGCATGTCTGTGCACCATATGCATGCAGTGCCTGTGGAGGCCAGAAGAGGGTTTTGGATCCCCTGGAACTAGAGTTACAGACAGTGAGCCATCATATGGGTGCTGGGATCCAAACCTAGTTCCTCTGCAAGAAAAGCAAGCGCTCTTAACTGCTGAGCCATCTCTCCAGCCCTCACTTAAACTTTTTTTTTTTTTACTTTGGTGTTTGTATATGGCACCATATGGCTGATAAGAGATCTAAGGGTTACTCCAAACAGCAGGAAGAAAAGATAAGAAAAACAAAATAAAAACATAACTCCTTTATAAACCTTCCCAGCTGTCCTATTTCTGCTTATAGTTCAGCTGGGTGGGGGTGGCATAAGCCTTTAATCCCACCATTCAGGAAGCAGAGCAGGTGGATCTTTGAGTTCAAGGCCTGCCTGATCTACAGAGTGAGTTTTAGGACAGCCAGGGCTACACAGAGAAACCATATCTCTACAAACAAACAAACAAATCCACTTATATTGCTACCTGACCTTGCTGAATTGCAAGGGACCTTTATAGACTTGATAGTGTTTTTTGAACAGTTTTATTATAATAGTAATAATAATTATTATAAATAATTATAATAAATAATAATTATAATAAAATATGTAACCTTGTAAGAATTATAGAGGAAATTTGAAAATTTCCTAATTAATAAAATCAGTGGATTGCCTTCACAAGCCTAGTCAAAGACCCAAGGATGTTTGTTACTTTTTCTGTTCAAGGAGATATCAAAATAATTGCTTTAGTCTGACATAAATCTCAGAACCCTTTAGGTAACAAATTATTAAGAGACTTTAAGTTCCAGAATGTTTAAAAAAATTTTTAAAAATCCCTCTTTTTTTAAGGAAATCAATGAGCTGTTGATAAAGGAAAAGATTATGCAACTCACCCAGCAGAAATCACAAATCCAAACTCTTCAGAAGAAGGTGATAAGCTTGGAGAATGCTCTGACTTTTATGACTACAGAGTTTGAGGCTGAAGTTTTGAAACTGCAGCAAAAGTCAATAATAGAGAATGAAGCAGGTCGGATAGAAATCGACAAGCTGCAGCAACTTCTTCAGATGAAGGACAGGGAAATGAATCGAATGAAGAAGCTGGCTAAGAACATACTGGATGAGAGAACAGAAGTGGAACAGTTCTTTCTAGATGCTCTGTACCAAGTGAAACAACAGATTCTGTTCAACAGGAAACATTATAAGCAGATTGCACAAGCTGCTTTCAATTTAAAAATGAGAGCAGCAGGTTCGGGAAAAACAGAATACCCCAAAATCAGGACCTTTGCTGGCAAAGAACACAGTACCAATAGTGTGACTCAGGATCTCATGGAGGCTGAAAAATGGTACTAATAATGCTGTAATGTGTTGTCTTTATATGTCCTTGCTTTTGTACCCTTTAAAAAAAGCAATAGCTCAGCAGGTTGTGATGGCTCAAGCCTGTAGTCCTAGCACAGGACAGACACAATCCCTGGCCTGTGCTAGGGATTTGTGAGAGAGCCTGTCTCAACATGTCCTCCTTCCTCTAAAAAAAGAACAAATTCAGATTGCTGCATAGATTTCTTAGTAGGTTCCTTGAGGACAGGACCTTACTCACCTTCGTAGCCCCTGCGCTTGGCATAGTGTATAATGTGGAGACTTGCTATGTATTTAGTAGCCATTTCCATTTATCTCATGACAGGAATTTGTTTAGGTGACTATTATTTTGTCCCATGAGACATCACTGTAATGTCTTTTACTTTATCTTAGTTCTTTTTTTAAACTACTTTTTAAAAAGATTTATTTCTACATGTACACAGTCTATTTGCATGATGCCTGCATGACAGAAGAAAGCATTAGATCCCATTATAGATGGTTGTAAGCCACCATGTGGTGGCTGGGAATTGAACTCAGGACCCCTGGAAGAGCAGCCAATACTCTTAACCACTGAGCCATCTCTCCAGCCCTTATCGTAGTTCTTATAAATTGGAAATTTGTTGAGAAGGCTTGATTAGATTCAGGTTAAACATTTTTAAGTATACTTTCTCAGATATTTTATGATGCACCTTTGCTATTCTGAGATAAAATTAATAGGTAACAATAACTAACTGTAGTTTTTTAAAATCAATATAATTTATGACTGCCATGCGGAAATGTTCTGTGGATTGGAGGGCATTCACTAGTGCTCCCACATCACTGTATTAAAACATTTACAAAACAGCTAGAGATTTACTTGTACCATGAAAAAGAGGAACGTCTGTGGCAGTTTAACTTCTATAGGAGGTTGTATTTGGTTTGTCTGTAGTCCTTTGTTTTCAGTGGTCTGCCCATTATAGACTGCCCTTTCAGATCACTGTCCATGTTTTTGTGTTTCTCATTTCGTCTTATGACAACTGAACATTTTGGATCAGCTAGCACACTGATAATCTTTTTCGGATTTTATGGTTTTGTAATGTGTACTTAGCTTTAAAATCATTACATAATGTCTGGAAATAATAGGAAATTTCTATTTATATACTTTGTGTTTTTTAAAGAAAATAAGTTTACTTTGATCATATTTTTGACATTTTTTTTTCTTTGAAATTCTTCAGGCCAACTAATCTAAAAAATGTGGATATTGGAGATTTGACCTGGGAGCAAAAGGAAAAAGTCTTAAGATTGCTCTTTGCAAAAATGAATGGTTTTGCTGCTAGGTAATTTCCAATTTTTGTAATGAAATGTCAGGTTGTCAAACCTAGAAGTCACATAGGAACAATGACTGCATTGTTATTGAGAATTAAAGGAAACACATTAAAGGCCTTAGCTACTTGCTCAGCTGTTGCAACTCTCAGAGACAAAGGTTGGGAGATGAACAAATGGATATGGAAGCAAAAGGAGATGTGAAAACACAAAAAAGAAAATAAATCTCCAGTGTTTAAGGCAATGCTTCTTAAGGATCACTGATTGGCTGAATGTATGGCACCTTCAGGCAAACTTAACAACTGTTGATCTTGCGTTGGTTTGCAAAGATGAACAAATTATTTTAGGCTGATACTTTTTGTTTGATTTTTTTTTAACTTTGTAGCAGAGTCTAATGTAGTTCAAATTGGCTTCTAGAGGCTAGCCTTGAACTCCTGATCTGCCCCTACTTCCCAAGTAAAATAATAATTAGGAACTTGGTAAAAGTTCACAGTTGAACTGTGAATTCACAGTTGTCCAACTGTGAGTTCAACAATAGAGTATTTTGTAATTGACTTAAATCAGATGAGTATAATCAATAAAATAAATGGCTTAGCTATTGCTTAGGCACTGTTAGTGTTTTCCTAAGAATTTTTTCATGTTTACTATTAGAGTATTTAATGTCTCCATCATTTAAACAGGCTTATGCTGTTTTCATCAGCACTCGCTTGAAGTCAAGTTAGGATTGGTATATGTGACTTTCTTGGGGAGTCAACATGTGATATTCTTATCTCTATAAACTCATTCAGAAAAGTGAATCAATTGTCTTTTTTTTTCTGTTTATTAACCCTATACTTTCTAAAGTATACTGGGCCTGTCTCCATTGGTTAACTTTTCGATGTCTGAGACTTATATGTGCATATGTGTTATGTGTGCACAGGTATGTGGGTACCTGTGCAGATGCCAAAGGCATCAAGGGTCTTCCTCTATAGCTTTCTACCCTTTTTGTTCCTGTTAACCTTTGAAATTAGCTCAAGCTTTTACCTTGTTAGAAACTTTCTTGATCTTCACAATGAAGATAGATTCCTCTAATCTAGGCCTTCACACCTTTATCTAATTCCTCTTATCTCCAGAGAGGGAAGTGGAGGGGTTATCCTCAGCTACACACATTGAACTGGAGGGAACTCTCCCTATCTCAGGACAACCAAAAAGCGATTTCACTTGACACAAATTCTTTGTGGTTCTTGTTTTAAGTTTATTTTCCAGGATCTGCCCATTTTCTCCTCCAGATGCTAGGTTTGAACTCATGTCTTCTTGCTTTCACAGCAAACACTCTTACCCACTGATCTATCGTCCTAGTTCTATGAGATTCTTTTGTGGGAAGGAAACTTTTCTGGGTGTTTTGATTAGTTATCTTGCTCAGCCTTGACTTCCACTATTAATAATTGTTCATGAGTGTTGGAGTGATGTTTTTGTGTAAATGCTGATTTCTGTACCAGCAGAAAGTTGAGTACAGGCTGGACTTTATATTGGTCTTCTTTTGGCTGCATCATATTTTGTAAACACTCCTTCCAACACCTTTTGGTAAAATAAGAGCTGAACAGCCACTAATAGCAAAGGCAGGAAAGGGAGGCAGGCCTTCTGATAGAGATAGGAACTCTGGGAAAAGAAAGAGGCATAAAACGATTCGCCTATGAGAGGCAGAGGAAGAAACAGGGAGATGGGCCTGAGAAAAGGTAAGGAACCACATGGCAAAACATAAATTAAACATAGGTTATAAGAACTAGTGGGAAAAGGCCTAAAGCTATTGTAAGTCAATATAAATCTCCTTCAGAGCTGGGGCAGACACAGGAAGTCCGTGTAGTTATACATGAATACCTTCATTATTATTGTCTCCATAAAGACTTTTTTCTTTCTTTCTTTCTTTCTTTGTGTGTGTGTGTGTGTGTGTGTGTGTGTGTGTATGTGTGTGTTTTGGTTTTTTTTTTTTTGTTTTTTTCAAGACAGGGTTTCTCTGTATAGACTTGACTGTCCTGGATCTCCCTTTGAAATACTTGAATTCAGTATGTCTGAACTTGAAGCAGTTATATTTGATTACTTATTTTTTACTTATATTTTATAACATATTTGATGAGTATGACTCATTCTGAAAATAGAAACCATATCCACCTAAAATTTGACTCAGCATTTTAAGGGTAGGAAGGTTCAAGGAGACACTGCCTCATTTGTTTATTGCTGTTTATCTACCACAGGAAATACAAACAGAGTTCTAAGCCTCCTGTTCCAGACTACATTTCTGACAGTGGAGAAATGAAAGAAACTGGGTAAGATTTCTTCTGTCAGAGTTATAAATAAGAGCCTGATCAAAAATGTCCTTTGTGGATATTTTATAGCTGGAGTTGAGAGAATGACAGTAGCAAGCCTGTTGTTCTAAACCAAATTCCATGCATGACTGTTGACATGACTGTTTTGTCTTTATTATAGGGATGAAATGAATGTTCCAGATCAAACCTTCATCACCCAGCAAGTTCAAATTTCAGACTCCAAAAAAATGGTATCATTTGCTAGTATTCCTAAAGGGTTATAGGACTCTTCAGTAGTAAGGAATCTGCTCTCTAATCAAGCAACACACCACTGCTGGCTTTCACTATGCAATGTCTTACTAGTTCACAGTTCCCCAACCCAAACAGCTCTCGGGGATGATCAGACAACATTTTATCACAGCGTCCATACTAATAAGGCATGTTATATATATGGAGAACCTATAGATTCCTTTCTGAAGTAAGCTACTTGGTCAAATGTGTATCTTATTTTTTTATTTTTAATATTTATTATGTATGATTGCTCTATCTGCATATACACCTGAATGCCAGAAGAGGGCATCGAATCTCAGTATAGATGGTTGTGAGCCACCATGTGGTTGCTAGGAATTGAACTCAGGACCTCTGGAAGAGCAGCTAATGCTCTTAACCGCTGAGCCATCTCTCCAGCCCCAAATGTATATTTTTTATTTTTTTGGGTCCTAGTGATTGAACCATTTGCATCCTAGGGCAAAGTGCCTCGTTCTGGAGCTGCCCTTTTGCCCTCTATCTTTTATAGAGGAGCAGACACAAGGTCCTGATGGCTCTTGGCTTTGAGCACAGGTCAGAAGCACCGCGACTTGGAGAACAAAGGAAAGAAAAGACTATTTTTTCAAACTGTATTTTTTTTCCCCTAAGGGTTGTTTTATTTGTACTTTGTTATGCATAATCAGTATAGAATCTGACAAAATACAAATGAGGCCATCTAAGAACAAAAAGAAAAATGCTGTTTTTTTCTGTTTTAGTGATACTAACCTGAATATAACTATAGATTTCATCTAAAAAACAAAAGATTCTTTTGAGCACAAGTAGCTGGCCAAATCAGTTGATTCTAATTAGAGTAACACAGTTCTGATTAGTCATAATTTTTTTTAAGATTTATTTATTATGAATACAATGTTCTGCCTGCATGCCAGAAGAGGGCACCAGATCTTATTATATAGATGGTTGTGAGCCACGATGTGATTTCTGGGAACTGATCTCAGGACCTCTGGAAGTAGCCAATGTTCTTAACCTCTGAGCCATCTCTTCAGGCCCCTGGTCATAATTTTTTAAAAGTAACTTTCTTAATATCTAAGGAAAATATTAGGGATCATGTGGTTAAATTCTACTTGGAATTTAGATAATAACCACTTTTCAACCCAGCCCAAAATTGTTGGATTGAATTATAAACTGTGATTTATAAGAAAACAAAGGGCTTTGTAGTCACAAACTATACATGTCTACTTAGCTTTTGGATAGAAAACAAGTCAGTTGTGTTTTGTTAAAGTGTCTAAAGGCTCTACCAGAGGTGGAATACTCTAATAATCCTATATCCACGGAGTAGGAATTTTCACGTTTGTTTTTTTTTTTTTTACCACCTTCATTTTAATTTACCAAATAACCCAGTGGACTAGAGCAACACCGTACAGAACAGAGGAAAATAAATGACCAGGGCCACACCTCTTGAAGCGCTAAAAATTAAGGAGCCCTCAGCCGTCTAGTTCAGAAAGCCAGGCAGATGAAACAAACTGTTTTGTTCAGCACATCAGCCTCTTCTGACTTAAGGTTTAGATTAAAAGCAAGTTTAAAGGCAGTTGAATAAGTGGTGGCTAAATACTGTCAACACATGAGAATTTGAAGTTTTTTGTAGCCCAATTAATTATTCTATATGAAGAGTTTTAAAAAGTATCAACTAATGAGAAATGCTGGCAAAAGAAAGAATAACATAAAATTTGGCAAATAGTAGGTTAAGCTTGTATAAGGCAAGAGTCTTACCTCTTTTTAAGATTGGAGATTCTTTGATTTCTGGATCAAAAATAGCTTGTGAAATAATTTTTCTAAGGATTTATTTGCACCTGAATTAATGCCTAGAGTATTGATTTAATGATTACTGAAGCAAACCATGAAACATGGCACATGTAACAAAAAGCTAATTTATCACTTGCATCCTGAGGTATCCTTGAGAAGTATTTTAAAAAGAAAGAACACAGGCAATGATAGAATTAAGTGGTGAGCATGAAACACACAGAAGGAAGTGGTATTGAGCAGAAAAGCAGTTGTCACAATGTTGGGATAAGTAAAAATAGGTTACATATCATGTAGTGTGGAAATTGATGGAGGGCTGTGTTTGAGGCTTAACCAGAGGGTGAATTGTTTCATTACTGGAAGATCTATCCCTATGCTGGTAATTTTCCTCCAAGTCACCAGAAGAACAGCATTGTTAGAAGACAGTTCTAAGCTCTCATTTTAGGTAAACTCATCACACAACAGTTACCTCAAAAACAGAAGCATGACGAACAAGTGAAGACCTGGTGTGTTACCTGTAGTCTTCCTACAACTTTCAAGGGACTGAGCATTCTGAGAAAGAGTTTAGTTGTAACGTATTCCATTCTCATGGATCTGATTTGAGCAAAGATGCCAAGTGAAGGTTGCCAAGAATGACAGGAAATTACTCAGGCTGGGCTGAGTCTCGGAAGAACTTGTTTCTAACGCCCCATGGTAGGCATGACTACAGCAGGTGAGGAGAGAGTAGCATCCTCTTCTTTCCACTGAGATGTGATAGTCTTTAACTGAGTATAAAATTGGATGCCCTAAAAAAAAATAAAATAAAATCAAAGGGACATAAAGAGAGTCAGCATATACTTCTGGAAATGTAAATTACTTCTGGGAATTTAAATTATTTTTAGTACTGTGAGCACTACCCATGTTCCTATTTGAGTAATTGGTACAACAAAATCCATTATTTGTTCATGAGATAGTATAACTGAAACATTTATGGGGATATAAACATGGCTCAGCTATTAAAAGCATCTGCTTCTCTTGCAGAGAAACAAGGTTTTATTCCCAGTAGCCACATGGCAGCTCACAACCACGTGTCACTCCAGTTCTTCTGGCCTCTGAAGGCATCAGTCACACATACGATGCATAGATATACATGCAGGCAAAACATTTATAACTGCCCCAAGTTCCCCACATTATGGGGCTAGGCTATTGCTTAATTGGTAGAATGCTTATCTAACATGCATGGAGCCCTGGATTCAATCTCCAACATGTCATAAAACAAGCATGGTAGGGCTGGGTGGTGGTGCACATGCCTTTAATCTCAGCACTTGAGTTTGAGGCCAGCCTGGTCTACAAAGCGAGTCTAGGACAGCCAAAGCTATACAGAGAAACCCTGTCTCCAACCACCCCATCAAAAAAAAAAAAAAAAAAACCCAACAAAAAAAAAAACAAAACATGGTAATATGTGCCTGTAATTCCAACACTCAAGAGGTAGAGGCAGGAGGATCAAGAGTTCAAGGACATCCTTGGCTACACAGTAAACTGGAGACCATCTTAGGATATATATATATATTTATATATTTGACTTGTCTCTAAAACATAAGTCTGGGAAGATGTCTTTGCAGGGAAAATGTCTTTGCAGGTCAAGTAGTTCCCATAGGACCTGAGTTCAGATTCCCAGAACCCATGTAAATGGCAGGTCAGTAGCAAGCCTCAGCAATCCTGCATGGTGAGGTGGGAGGTAGAAACAGACCTCTGGAAGCTCAAAGGCCAGCGAGTCTAGACAAGCAGTCAAAACGGCAAGAATCAATAAGCCTGTCCTCTGACCTCCACATGGACATCCCCGCCCAGCCTCACACAAAGAATTAAAGAAGTAATAAACCACTTAGCACAATACCTACCACATGCTAAACAGTCAACGCTTAGTCATCATTAATATGCTGAAGTTAGAATTTTAAGCATAAGGGTATCAAAGTTGAAAAACTGAACAGTGCAGTCTTGTTAAATTTTCTGGCTACTCTATTTCAGAGCTGACTAAGCAGTAAAGTCAATAGGCTTTGGTCAAATCCTGCTTCTAACCTTATTTACCATAGCTTAACTTTGAGCCCTGTCTGATATAAACTCACCTTTTAGCAAAGCTGTAAGGAGAAATTGAAATGATATAGCAAAGTAACTGGTATTCAACAAATTCTGCTTCTAGTCATCAGTGATAATGAGCTATGTTTTGTAAAGTTGCAAACCTAAAATAGTCTACACACCCAATTCTAAATTACCAAAAACTTTACTAGAGTTAAAGCTTTTTAAGGCCTTGTATTCAATCTACCCCACAAACACATGTATAATATGTATAAAAATAAGCTTGATGTCTTTAAACCAAGACATGATAAATGACTACAAGTCATTCAGATAAAAGAAAAAAAGATAGAGTGGCACAGGAAAAAGAAATGACCTATACAAAGATTTGGGTTTCTTTATGCTCTTTCCTCTAAACCTATTACCTTGACGTACTCAGTGAAGAGAGACTTGGCAAAATTTTGTTAACTTTTAAGTCTTTTTTTTTTTTTTTTAGGAGTCTCAGAAATAAAGCAGAGCAATAGATGACTCCACAGCAGATATAAGTGAATCCTTCTTTATGTAATCTTGCTCTGAGTATGTTCAAGAACGTTTTCAAAGGAAAAGAAAATTCCAACTGAAAAGTTACCTGTTTGCCATAGAAATTGGTGTCTCCCCTGAAGGAGGATCTCGAGCCGGTGAAGGAGAACATGGGCAAAGGCACTGGAATGGGAACATTCACGCCCACCTAAAGAGAACAGAAGCGCATCGAGTACTGGCTGAAGGGCTTAGCAGGGTCCACACAGAAGCACAAAGACATTGACACTAGTTTTATTTTTTCTTTGGTTTTAGATTTTGCTTGCTTTGGGTTTTCTGCAGATAGCAATTTTTAAGGAGTCATCTTGCACCCTGTGCTCCACCCCAAGAAATGGGGAATTGTGGGCAATTAAAAGGGCAGTCTATTCACAGACCTGTCCGACATCCACCATGTGAGAGTATTTCCGGGCAGTGGCTCCGTTGGTGGTGAAGATGGCGGTTCCGTTTCCATATGGGTTGTCATTTACAATCTTGATGGCTTCATCCAGTGTTTCTGTCTCTAAAACCACAAGAACTGGACCAAAAATCTCCTCTTTGTAACAAGTCATACTTGGCTGTCAGGAGAAATGGATCCAGAAAAGTCATATTTTAAAAAAAAAAAAAAAACAAAACTATGTTATGCTTCTTTAGCACTGTAACTCACTACCCATGTCTCCACAAGCACTTTTTTGTTTTAGTAACCATCTTCTCTTATTTCTGTTCAAAAGATAGGAATCTTTAGAGCTACAACTATATAAATAACTAGGATTTGCATTCTTTGCTTTTCAGTACTCTATTTCAAGGTTAAGGCCCATCACCAACACCTATACAACTTGTTTCATACAGTTATTAATGAAAGTTACATGAAAAGTCATTTTATGAATTAAATAGATATTAAGTAAACCAGAACTTTTCTAGAAACTCCTTGCTAAATGCTCTGTAACAAAACAACCCATTCTTATTCATTCCTTTGCTTCCAAATAAGTCTCCAATTTTCATATTGGATCCTACTTAAATATTCAAAACATCCTTCACGAACGCTGCACCTACTCAGCTGTGTTTGTTGCCAATGAGCTTTTCCTCTGCATTTCTGTGGCAAGAAACTTCAACCTGTGACATGTTAGTCAGGACATACAACAAAAAGCCTGCCTCTATTAGTCATGAATGTTAGCTGGGAGACTGTCACACTTTGATCAATAAAAATTGATAGATGATTTTTATCTCTTTTGTTTCTTTCTGGTAAAGATGAAATTAACATTTAGGCATAGGTTAAAGTATTCAATGAGTACTGAGTGTTAATATGTTGATTGGGGCACTGCAGTACTCTCAGCAAGTGGGAAATGAAAGTGTAAGACAAGGGCTACAACTGTAATACCAGGATCATGGGACCCTCAGAGACCACCAGGAGATGACTCGATGCAAGAGCAAGAGAGCTTTATTACGAGAGCGATCAAACACGGGACCTAAGTCTCACTGACACAGCAGTAGAGAAGTAGGACCCTAAACTCTGAATGAGCAGGGTTTTTAAAGGGAAAGACTGTAAGCAGGGGGTTTCCATGACAGCAAACATGGGGGGGTACATGTTTCCATGAGAGAAAGCAGGGGGGTTCATGCCTTGACGTTACAGATTTGGGTAAAAGCCATAGGGGAAAGGTGACCGTTTATATAATCACAATTGCTAGGGAGAGTGTCTCTATTTTTTACTAAACATTTATTCTGTGATATTTCCTGGAGGCCATTGCTTAGAGAGCTAACTTTGTTTTCTGCCAGGTGCACATTCTGTGATATTTTCTGGTACCTGAGTTCAGCTCCCGGTCAAGATGTCTCCTTATTTTAAAATGGAGTCACCCAGGCTAACAAACTCTTCACAACTATTGTTTGTATGCCAAATGTGCTTGTTCTGAAAGCACCTACAAGCTAAGAACAGTTTCTCCTTTATTTTAATGGTTAGGAAAAATTTCAGAAGACTATTTCATAATATAAAATTACAAAATTCAAATGTACAATTGTAAAAATTGAAATTGAACAATTGAAAATGAAAATGTATAATTCAGCTAGGCGCATGCCTATGATCCTAGCACTTGAGGCAGGAGGATCTTTGTGAGTTTAAGGACAGCCTGGTCTACAAAGCCAGTCCAGGACAGCCAAAGCTACACAGAGAAACCTTGTCTCAAAAAACAAGACAAACAAACAAACAAACAAAAAAACCACAGAAAAAAAAAAGAAAATGTACAATTCAATTAAAAATGTACAAATACAAAATCCAAGCTGGGTGAGGTGGTGCCTTTAACCCCAGACAGAGGTGGCGGGTGAGTCCAGGACAGCCAGGGTTCTGTTTCGGAGAGAAGCCCTGTCTCAACACCCCCCCCCCCCCAATAATCCATAAATAAGATTTTACTGGAACACGGCCATGTACTTGTAGTTGATTTTATACTATACCCCAGAGTGGTTGTGACAGAGACTCTATTTCTGCAAAGCTGAAAATATTTAGCCTTCCAAGGAAAGTCTGTTGTACTGGTTAGTTTGTGTCACCTTGACATATCTCAGTCATCTGAGAAGAAGGAACCTTATCAGAGGAATTGCCTCCATCAGATTAGCATGTGGGCAGATCTGTGTGGTGCTTTCTTGATTAATGTGGGTGGTACCATCTTGGGCAAGTTCTCCTGGGTTGTAGGAAAAACCAAGGTGAAGGAGCCATGAGGAGCAAGGTAGTAAAAGCAGCCTTCCTCCATGGTCTCTGCTTCTCTTTCTGCCTCCAGGTTCCTGCCCTGACTTCCCTCAGTGATGGACTGTCATCAAATCAAATCAAAAGAAAACAAAACAAGGGTCTGGAGAGATGGCTCAGAGGTTAAGAGCACTGCTTGCTCTTCCAGAGGTCCTGAGTTCAATTCCCAGGAACCACATGATGGCTCACAACCATCTATAAAGAGATCTGGTGCTCTCTTCTGGCATTCAGGTGTACATGCAGGCAGAACATTGTATACATAATAAAATAAATAAATCTTAAAAAAAAAAGAAAAGAAAAGAAAACAAGACTGTCTTTGACATGAACTCAGTGGCAGGCTCTTTGCCTCCTCCCCGCCCCCTCGAGGGAGGAGGAGCAGCCTTGTGAGGAGGAGCAGCCTTGTTAGGCCACAGAGGAGGACATTGCAGCCAGTCCTGGTGAGACCTGATAAACTAGGGTCATATGGAAGGGGAGAAGGACCATCCCTATCAGTGGACTTAAAGAGGGGCAGGGAGGGGATATGGGAGGGAGGGTGGGATTGGGAGGGAATGAAGGAGGGGGCTATAGCTGGGATACAAATTAAACTGTAATTAATATAAAAAATAAAAAGAAAACAATTAAAAAAAAAAAAAGAAAACAAAACAAAAACCCAGATACACCCCCTTTTTTCCCTAAGTTGCTTTTGGTCATGTTTTATCACAGCAGTAGAAAGCAAACCAAGATATGTGCCATATAGTAAACAGAGTTCTAGTTGGAAGCTGGGGAGATTTATTTACTTAGCTTCCAGACAGAATAACTGAGCAATCCTTGCAAGAGTTATGGCCTTAAATATTAAATATCTTCATTTCTAGAGGGCTGAGATCTCAGGGCCTCTAAGGTGTTTTTAAGCTCTTGCATTTGTGAAATAATCTTGACTTGCTTACCTTGACATTGGAGATGATGGTTGGTCCGACAAAGTTACCATTTTCATAGCCTTTGACTTTAATTTTCCGCCCATCCAGAAGGATAGACGCACCTTCTTTTGTTCCACTATCGATTAGCTTGCACACTCGCTCTTTGGCCTGAGGGGTGATCAGAGGGCCAAGATCAGCTCCAGGCTGGTCTCCTATAAAACAAGTAAAAGTGTCTAAGGATTTTTTTTTTTTTTACTTTATATCTTTTCTTTTTTTCTCCCCCCCCCCACTTATTTATTTAATCACTTCACAGCCTGATTGAAGCTCCTTTCCTCCTCTCTTCCCAATCCCACCTTCATGCCCCCATTCCTCCTCCCCTTCTTCTCAGCTAGCGGAAGGGGTTCCAAAGGAAGGCAACTGGGTCAGAGACAGCACCTACTCCCACTGTTAGGGGACCCGCAGGATGACCACACTGTACTTTTGCTAGGTCCAGCCCAAGCATGCTCTTTGGCTGGTGGTTCAGTCTCTGTGAGCCCCCATGGTCCCAGCTTAGTTTACTTGCGCCTAAGGATTTTACTAACACAGATTTTGCTTGCTGAGATAAGTCTGAATGACAAGTAGAGTTTAAGAGAGTTAACAGTAGGAACAGAAAATGCTCCCCATTGGCAAGGCCAACGCTAAATCCAATGATTCAGTGCCATAAAGGTCTAAAGTTACTTGGCAGTTGACTACCTGCATTGACCCGAAGATTTTTGGCGCGCTCCACCAGTTCCGGCAGCCACTTCTTTGCTTCTCCCACAAGGATGGCTGTTGAGAGAGCCATGCAACGTTGGCCAGCAGCTCCAAATGCTGCCCCAACCAGTTGGTTGAGGGTGTTTTCCTTATTGGCATCTGGCATGACTACCCCATGGTTTTTGGCTCCCTAAAGAAATGCAAAAAGCACACAGGTCTTCCTTAGATAAATTCAGTTAAACCAAAATACTTAAGCAAAGAAGCTGATGTATGAGAGTTTATGAAAAGAATTTATCTTTTCTTATTTTGAACAAATATTTATTTATTATTATTATTATGTTTTAGTTTTAAATTTTTGCAGTATTGAGAATTGAACCTAGACCTCATGCATGCCAGGCAATGGTCAGCCTTTTATTTTGAGACAAAGTCTCACTAGGTTGCCAAAGCTAGTATTGAACTCTGTAGCACAGGACAGATTACTTTTAATTCTGCTGAGATCTAAGCAATACTAAACAGGGCTTCACATTACTTTAATCTCTGTGAGAAGCTGATGCATCCATTTAGATCAAAGCCATTAACAAGGTGGTGGGCAGTGGAGGCTCAGTTACTTTCAAATTGACAAGTTAAGAAACGTAGACTACAAAAGCAAACCATGTATCATATGAGAGACATATGAACCAGTGCCTTATGTGGGCTGGCCTTCCCAATTCTTTAACAAAATGGTTGCTGTAAAAACAAAATAACCTTAGGGATAACCAGTGGAGGAAGGGTTGGTTTCAAGACAGGGCTTCCTTATGCAGCCCTGGCTCTCTTGGAACTCAGACTGTAGAGCAGGCTGGCTTGGAGCTCAGAGATCCACCTGCCTCTGCCTCGCTGGGATTAAAGAAAGGCGTGTGCCATCAAGCTCTCTACCACATTTTTAAAGCCATATCATTAGTAGTTAGAGCACACTTTTAAAAGAAGCAAGAAATAAGGTCTAGAGAGAGAAGATTTGGCTGTTACTGCTGAAGACTAAAGAATCTTAAGATTCTTAAGGAGGAATATGCCCTTTGTCACCAAGATTAATTGCGTATGATAAAATATGGTCACCGTAGCAGAATAAAACTTCACAAGGCCAGGGCCTAGGAGGAAATTCAGGATGAAATGGTGAGCACTGGCCTTCATGAGCTACGGAATGAGTAGCCTGTCTACTGAAGGGCATTCCCACCCTTACATATACACAGAGCCAAGTTTGAGGAGCAAAAGGAATGAGACGTCACCATATTGGCTTGAACCCTCTTGCCATTTCTTGACCCTCTTTCGAAGATGTACTCTCCTGCCTGGTTGGATCCCACAAAGCTGATTGCTTTGATGTCTGGATGATCACAAATAAAATTTACAGCTTTAAAAAGAAAATAAATGATTACCACAAGGAATAAGTAGCCCATGGGCTCATCAATACATCAAATCTGCCCTTTCCCGTATTGTGAATTAACACTCATACATTTCGGCATGGAAATTCCACTGTGACCTGGGATCGCTTAATTACAATGTTTTGTTTTTGAGACAGGGTCTCACTATGTAGCCCTACGTGCTAGACCACACTGCTCGCAAACTCAGATTCACCTGCTTCTGTCTCCCAAACATTGGTATTATAGACATGTGCACCACACCAGTCTTTAAATTGCAATCTCTAATTTATTCTCTCTTTACTAGTCCAGAACTTCCACAGATATCAAGCTTGTGTGCCAAGTGTCTTTGCATGCTGATCCATTTAGACAACCTATAAAGGCTACAATTTCTACTTTCCTCAAAGAAAATAACATTCTTTCAAAACCTGACCTTTTTATTTTATCCTTTAAGAACAAGTTATGTCTCAGATTCTCAGATACTTACATCCTCATGTAAGTGATAGGTACCCACTCTTGGTAGGGCACACTATTTAAACGTAAGAACCTGGATAGATGGACCCTAATTTCCCTAATTGCTGGCAGTGTTACTTAGAGCAAATGACTTAATTGTACTCTGCCTTTGCCTTCTCATTTGAAAGATGAAAAACAGGGCCCTCCTGAAAGCGTTGTTAAGACATTAAACAAGAAAATAACCTTTCTCTTCACGCTCATCTTCGTCTGGCCCTAATTCATTTTTCTGGTGTTCCACTGTGCAGTATAGCTCACCCAGATGGTGAGACGGTTAAGCCACATGACCTTTAAACATCGAGGTTACTATTAGTAAATCCTTCCTTGCTAATTTCCTCATCCTAAAACACCCAGTCACAGAGCTGGAGAGATGGCTTAGTGGTTAAGAATGCTTCTCACCCTCTCAGAGGACAGGAATTCAGTTCCCAGCACCCACACTGGGCACCTCACAACCACCTGTAAGCTCACCTCAGGGTATCCACACCTGTGTGGCCAACACACACAGAGTCACATGCACATTAAGTAAACATTCAAGTCCCCAATCAATGTCAAACACCTTAGTGTGGGGGTCAGGTTAAGTAGTCATATAAAAAAGTCACCTTCATGCTGTCCGTGGATAATGTTCAGTGTTCCATCGGGGGCACCAGAATCCTGAAGCAACTTAGCAAGAAGCATTGTTGCTCCGGGTACTCGCTCTGATGGCTTCATTAGGAAAGTATTTCCACAAACCATAGCCATGGGAAACATCCAAAGGGGGATCATGGCAGGAAAATTAAATGGTGCGATGCCTGCACACACACCCAGAGGCAGGCGGTAGGAATAAAGGTCCATGTCTTTGGTGATAGATGGCATGGTCTCTCCCAGCATGAGGGATGTCACACTGCAGGCGTGCTCGACCACCTCTGGAAGAAAGAGGACACGAGTCTGGCCACCCAGTGCCTTTCCATGCCCAACACTAGTTAGCTTTGTCATTCTCTATTCAGTCCATTCAGGTCACTGATGGGGATGCGTCATCCATGCGGGAAGCTTAAGTAAACAGATTCTCTGAGTGACATACATATATGTTCTCAAACACCATTTGAGCTTAAAAAAAAAAAATCAAAAACCAGTAAATTAGTCTTAAAGGTACCAGATAAATACTGCCTTAAAAATATTTTTAAAGAGCTGGGAGTGGTGGCACACGCCTGTAATCCCAGCACTCTGGGAGGCAGAGGCAGGCAGATCTCTGTGAGTTCAAGGCCAGCCTGGTCTACAGACTGAGTCCAGGCCAGGAAGGAATCCCTGATGCTAGTACACAACTTACAACCCTAGCCCATGGGAGGCTGAGGTAAGGAGTACCATGGGTCAGAGCCAGGCATGGCTACCTAGTAAGTTCCAAGGCAGCCAGAGATCTCAGTGAGCCTTGCCTCAAGAGACAAAAACAAACAAAACAAAAGGAAATGGAAAAAGATACCACAGGACAGCAAAATCCACATAAAGGAAGGATCAACCTCCCCATTCTGGGGTCTGCCTCCCATCTTTTCATCTTTCCCACAAGTCCCAAGAGGGGTTCCCAGCTTACGAAGGCCTCGGAATACATCTCCTTCGGCATCAGCTAGAGTCTTTCCTTGTTCCAATGTGATTAACCTGGCAATTTCTTTCTAAAGAGAAAACATATGAACAGAAACCAATCCAAGGATGTTCCTTTATATTATTTACTTGCTTAATGTTGGGAATATACTTCACGATTTTATTGTGTTGTTGTTGTTGTTTTGAGACAAGGTCTCATGTAACTCAGACCAGCCCCAAACTCACTCTATAGTTGAGGCTGGCCTTGAACTCCTGATGGGCCTGCCTCCACCACCCAAGTGCTGGGATTACAGGCATGACCAGGGTCTTGCTCATGTTGACTAAGCGTGTATGATACTGCTGAGCTTTCAACCCAGCCCCTATTCTTCTCCAAGGAAAAACAAAACTGAGGGAGAACGTGAATGAGAAAAAGAATCACGACCACTGTCCTTCTGTGTTGTGGCGTTAGAGAGGACAGCTGGTCAAGACTCTGAAGAGGTGACCAACATGCCCTCGAAACAGGCCAGAAAACGACGCAAACTTCTTACCAGGTTTTCTTTAATAAGTTGTTGGTAGCGGAGCAGGACCTGCTGGCGGGTTAAAATAGATGTGTCTGCCCATGCAGGGAAAGCACGTTTGCAGGCAGCCACGGCCGCATCCATTTCAGCTTTGGTGGACTGAGGGACCCGACCAATAACCTCATTGGTGGCCTGAAAAGAAGCCATCACATTCACCAGCGCTTCACTTTTCCCACGTGGGCCTACTCACAGCAGCAACACGTCCTTTGTGGTAGAGCCCTACCCCCTCCCCTCACCTTGCCCCTTGCTCCCAAAATTCTAGGCTGGTAGGTTTAAGTCCCAGAAAAGTTTTGCTTACTGGGTTGTGGATGTCAATCCATTTGTCACTTTTGGATTCAACAAATTTCCCATCAATGAAGAGCTTTACAGTTGGCTAGAGAAAAACATACATACACATACACAAAAAAAAATTAATTATTATTTTGCTTCTTTTTCTCTTGTGAAGAAGGAATTCGGTGGATAATTGGATTTAACCGCTGAGCCATCTTTCTAGCCTTTCCTCACCCAAAAGTTAAACTTCCAGGAGCAATAGAAATGTTTATACTGGGTGCTGAAGAGAGAGATGGCTCAGCAGTTAAGGGCGCTGGGTGCTCTTCCAGAGTTCCAAGGTTCCATCCCCAGCATGTACTCACAACCATCTAGAACCAATTCCAGAGTATTTGATGCCCTCTCTTGGCCTCTGCAGGCACAAGACACGCACAAGGCACTGACATACATGCAGGCACAGTACTGATAAACACATAAAGATTTAAATAAGAAACACAAAACTAAAAGTTATATACTTTTTGATCATAACCATCCAAGAAGAGAATGCCTGAAAATTATAATGCATTCCTTCTCAGAAGTTCATCTTTAGCACCAAAGTTACTCACCACTGATGAGGAGAAGGAGGCTGCTGGGTACCATGTAGAGTTTACTTTAGAGGAAACCTACGGGATTAAATGGTATCTGATGAATTGCCAGGTTAGTGCTGCCCCCCCCCCCCCCCCCCAGACTCCACGGAAGGATGGAATAGACTTGGAAAAGGAACAGACAGAGGTAGTGGCTGAAGAGAGGGAACAAGGTAGGAGAGGGGTCGCAGAGTTAAGAGGGCAGAGAACAGACCCAGGAAGAGCAAGGGCGAGAGGACAGAAGGCCTGTAGAGAAAAGAGAAACTCAAAGTGGGGATATCTGTGTGACAAGCTAGAGACCTAAGTCAGGGTAAGCTCCTGGGAGAATATGAGGGACACTCAAAGCAGTGGCCCACACTTTTAATCCCAATACTCAGGAGGAAGGCATTCTCTGTGAGCTTGGGCTCCATAGTGAGTTTCAGGCCACTAAGATTATTTCAAGGGTGTTGGAGAGATGGCTCAGCGGTTAAGAGCACTGTCTGCTCTTTCAGGGGTCCCAAGTTCAATTCCTGGCAACCACATGGTAACTTACAACCATCTATAATGTGATCTGGTGTCCTCTTCTGGCATTCAGGTGTGCACGCAGATAGAGCACTCATATACATAAAATCAATATATCTTTAAAAAAAATACCCTATTTCAATAAAACTTGGCAAGTGGCTGTTAGAATGCTGAACATCACATAGCTACTGTGATTGCATAAAGGGATTTAGTATTTGGACGCAAGAAGCATATAGTTTTGTTTTGAGACAGAGTCTCAAAGCCCAGGCTTTCCTGGGGCTTTTTATGTAGCCGAAGCCCTTGAACCCATGACGATTCCCTACGTCAGCCTCCTAAGTACGGGATTATAAGCACAAGCAACCACATAACACTTAGGATCATATGCCTTTTTGTTTGTTTTTTGAGACAGGGTCTCTCAATGTAGTCCTGGAATTCAATATATAGACAGAGATCCACCCGCCTCTGCCTCTCAAGTGTTGGGATTAAAGACATTTTTTTTTTTTTCAAGACAGGATTTCACTCTGTATCCTTGGCTGTCCTAGAACTCACTCCTTATGATCAGCCTGGTCTCAGAGATCCACTTGCCTTTGTGTGGGCTAAAGGCAGCTATACCATTGTCCGGTGGGCTATTTTAGTTAAGTCTATTTGTAGGTACAAGTGCTGTCACTGGACCTCCTCTGTCCCCTTCCTCTTAGCCCCAGGTACTGAGGATCAAACCTGGGGTCTTGTGTATGCTACGCAAGCCTCCTACCACTGAGCTACATCCGCAGCTTTGGCTATAGAGTCTTTTTGTTTGTTTGGTTTTTGTTTTTCTGTGTAGCCTTGGCTCTCTTGGATTTGCTTTGTAGACCAGGCTGGCCTTGAACTCACAGAGATCTTCCTGTCGCTGCCTCCCTGGAGAGCTGGGATTATAGGCATTTGCCACTGTGCCTGGCTTGTATAGTCTTTAATCCTAGAGCTGGGGAGGCAGAGGTAGGCAGACCTCTGAATTCAAGACTACTCTGGTCTAAATAGTGAGTTCCAAGCCAGCAGAGCTATGTAGTGAGACCATGTCTCAAAAAAAAGTTTGTGTGGGAGGGGCAGGAATAGGTCCCCACAAACTGAGGACTAGCCTGGTAGTCTACATAGTGAAGGCTAGAAGGAAAAAAACCAAACAAACCCAACAACTAACCAAATGAAAATACTGACAAGAAATTAGGAGACACAGAAAATTATAGAAACAATAAATCATAAAGATCATTGTCCTAGATTTCCAGGGAAGTCTTGATTTAAGCAATCTTTTTAGTCATTGTATCATATTTTGCAAAATACAGTTACCATAAGTCTAACAAAAGTACTTAATATGATGTGTAAAGTAAATGTTGAAGACAGCATAAATCAATATAAATATAATAAACCGTAAATAATATTGTCTTTGGGCAATGTGAATGTAGATTAAATAATAATAAAATGTGATTATTTGTTCACACATACTTGAATACAACTGTTTATAACACCTTTACTTCAATTAGTCCCAAACTTGGTAATGATTCAAATGTCCACTATTAGATAATATGATCAAAGTACATATGTATGAAATTATCACAATGGAACCTGTTTTTTTTAAATAGAATATATGCTAATAGTGAAATTTTTAAAATGCCTCCACAAGGAGAACAACAGACCCCAAAATACCTGGGCCTAGGGGGGCCTGCAGAGAACGATACTCCAACCAAGGACCTTGTATGGAGAAGACCTAGACCCTGTTCAAGGAAGCCCATTGGCTGTTCAGTTTTCAAGTGGGTTCCCAAATAAGGGGTACAAGGACTGTCTCTGACATGAACTCAGTGTCTGGCTCTTTGATCACCTCCCTCTGGAGGGGTACAGCCTTGCTAGGCCACAGAGGAAGATGATGCAGCCAGCTTTGATGAGACCTGATAAGCTAGTATCAGCTAGAAGGGGAGGAGGTCTTCCCCTATCAGGGGACTAGGGAAAGGACATAGGGGGAGGAGAGGAAGGGTGGGAATGGGAGGAGATGAGAGATGGGGCTGCAGCAAGGATACAAAGTGATTAAATTGTAATAAATAAATAAATAAAATGCAATAGTTGAGGGTGGAGATGGACTTCAGGAAGCTGAAAGATCATATATTCAAGGCCAGTCTGGGCTACCAAGTGAGACTGTGTTCCAAGTGGGAAAAAAATAGATGAAACATTAGATTATTTATTTATATAAAACCAGGCAATACAAGTTCATACATAACACCATCAGATTTGTAGTCACCCATGGATGAAAGGGACAGCAGTAAGGAGCGCTAAAAGGGAATTTTTTGGAGTGATGAATATTTTTATTAGTTTGTGATATTTTCACAGGCATTAACTCTTATCAAATGATATATGTACATATTGTTTTGTGTCAATTTCAGTTTAGAGGCTATTTTAGAAATGGTACAGGTACCCCATGGCAGGGGAATATGTCAATATTTTACAGGGAGTTGAGGGAAGCTCAATTATAATAATGTTAAATCTTACATTGTATTTCTAAAAACAGTGTTCAACATGTTACAAAAGTTGACTTGAGCAATATTCAGGTAAAAGATGTAAAAGAAAGTTGGGATGATGGTTTCTGCGGCCACCTTGAAAAGGTCATTCATGACAATGGTCCCTTTGGCCACTGCCCACTCTCACCAATAGCGGGCTTCATGCTATACTACACTATGTGTCTCGCTTGAATTCCTTTGATGGTGATCACAGGACCAGAGAGCTGAGGAGAGAAAAGCAAAACCCCGGTGACCAGTGGGTTTTTTCACCCTCACCTTGAGATCTCTGATACTGCCAAATGGATTCCTTCTCTTAATTGTCTTTGCTTCCTTAACTCCCATCAACTTTTTAATCTACTCCAACCTTCATAACCAAGTATCAGTGACGCCAAGTCTTCCTTAGACCTAACCTCACAGCTAATTACTCTTTCTTGAAGCCCTTTCATTTCTCCTATGTTGCCCTGGTGTCTTTTCTACCCATCCCTCTATTTCTTTGTATTCCTCGTTATCTCCTGGGTCCCGTTTTTGGCAATGAAAGACAAAGCAGCAAAAACCTCCCCGATGGCTTTCTACTGCCTTTGCAATTAAGATCAACACCCCTGGTGTTCAGAGGCTCCACACAGTGCTTTTGCTTTTCTAGTTTCATAGCTGACTTGCTACTTCCTCCTTGCTCTCTACTCCAACCGTCCTGGAGTTAGACATTATACTGTGTTGTCCCAAGGTTGGCCTAAGACTTCTAGACATGTTTTATCTTCTTTGCTTTTGAATATGCTGAGCCATCTTGTCTGACACCGTTTAATTCCATTTGCCTGGCTTGTTCTTAACTCCCTTGGGTTTCTAGCTGGCTGTCATCCTCTCTAGGAGGCCTCACCCTCATGTATGGGCTCAGTACCTGAGTGTGGAGTTCATCAAGCACTCAAGTCCTCCATTTTTCATTCCACAGCACAGGACAATAGTTTGCTTACATATTAAGTCTCCCTCTCTTTAGATCACTAGACCATCATGTCCTCTGTCCCTAGCCTGATCCTTTGAATAGACTGAGGATTTGTTAATATTTTACAGAACCAAAGGGTGAATACTCACTGAGCAGTGATTTGTTACAAATGTTGTTTCATGTGTTCTGTCTTAAGGATAGAAAGTGCACAGATCAGCTAATTTAAGCACTGCAAGTGAGTTAAGCTTTATGTTTTCACTTACACACACAGCCTTCCTGCCCACTATAATGAAATATAACCAAGTAGTTTTTGCAGAATGAAATCTGTTTTGTATTTCTTAAGAAATACTCATTAATATTCTTAAGAAATACTCATTAGTTTCCTGAAGACACTAATCCATCACTTTCACTCTCTAGATCAGTGATTCTCAACTTTCCTAACACTGTGACCCTTTAATACAGTTCCTCATGTTGTGGTGACCCCCAACCATAAACTTATTTTGTTGCTACTTCCTAACTATAATTTTGCTACTGTTGTGAACTGTAATGTCAATATCTGCTATGCAGGCTATCTGATACGAAAGGGTGGGTTCTTCAGCCCCGAGGGGTCTCAACTCACAGGCTGAGAACTGCTCTAAGCATTAACTTCCTATCTACTGGTTTTCTGTCTTTTCCCTTGGCCAGTGGCTTGATAATCTTGCCAGATACAGAGTCAGCCCTTTTAGTAGCTTGTGCTGAACTGGACAGGCTGAGTTTGGGGCTCTTTCCCTATATCCCTTGGCACCCCCAACTGCTAGCACATTGTGCTACAGTTGCGAATGTGTTAAAAGTCTAGGGCAGTGCAAAGAAAGAAAGGCATGCCAAGATCTAAGTCCTAAATTCTCCACTCCATCAGTCACTAACTAGGTGAAGTTGGGTCAGACCTGACCCAAGTGTCAGCCAATTCACGTCACTACATTTTAAAATTCTCATCTTCACAGATATTCTTAAAATTAGACAGTGGTGGAGGTAGGGTTAAATTCAGAGATTTGTATTGCATCATTGAGGCAGGTCACTGGGTTTCTTTCAGGTGGTTTTCTTATCTCTGAATGGAAAAGATAATATCACACAAAGCAGAGAAGGAGAGTGTCTAGGTTAAATTCTACTATTCCCAAAACAGAAGACATAGGCTGAATACTTAAAAAAACAAAACAAAACTGAAAACTCACTCATTATTTTGTATGCTATCCTGAAAAATAAAATTTAAAAACTCTGAAAATATGAATTTGATCCTTCACCGGTTCTCTTGATGGTCTTCTAATATTCATGGCTGTCAGAATTTAGACTGTTTTCTCTTTTCTCTGTATTTTTCTCTTTTTCTTTATGTCTTTGTGTATGTTGTGTGTGTGTTCGTGTGTGGGAGAGATAGGGGCTTGGTATGCCATCCAGGTGTTTTTTCCTTGTTGTTTCTGTTAAGGCTTTTGCTGTTGTAAATTTTTCTGTATGTGCGAGCGTATGCAACACGTGCACAGGTGCCCTTAGAGACCAGACGGCATCAGGACCCCCCGAAGCTGGAGTGAGAGCCGGTTGTCAACTACCCAGTGTGAGTGCTGGGAACTGAACACAGGTCCTCTGAAGAGGAGGGAACACTCAACCTCTGAGCTACCTCTTCAGCTCCCAATTTTATTTTTTTTTATTTTAGAAATCATTTTTGTTGATTTTTTTTCAGTAACCATTTACCAAGTAATATAGGTTTCATTAAAGTATTTTCAGGCATGTCGTTATACTGTGTTGCTCTTCATTCTCTTCTTCAACTGCCCTCATCTCCCCTCCTGCTCTCTGGTGGGTTCACTTCCCAGGCTGGTTTTGAAGTAGTCTCAGGAGATATTCCTGCCTCCGTTTCTCTGAGAGCTGGGCCTATATACAAGAGCCACCATGCCCATGTAGACTAGCCTTTATCACAGCGTCATGCTACACTAAATTCTAATTGTCTAAGAACTATCTCTGGTCTTTTTCCAAGTCAGTTCAGAGGTTTCTGCAATTTGGTTCTTAAAGAGAAAAACAACACACAACGGAAGAGAGATTCTGTCCCTTTGTCCAAGGGGCAAAATAGCTGAATATTCTCAGGAACTCATGGTGCTGGGAATAACAGTGAAAGGGGAGCAGCTTTTATAAAGGATTTTAAGAGGTTGGTAATTGGAAGATGCAGAGTGGAAATGTTCCTGACACTAGAAAAATGACACCAGAATACAGCTAGGGGAGTGAAGTCATGCCGACCCTCTAAGACCTCTAAGACCTTCAGTTCATTCTTCACACTGTTTCATTAAACAGAATATTCAAACCTGAGCCTTTGGTGACTCCACTGAGAATCTAACACATGCACACATTTCTGCAGTAGAACTAGAAACCTGATGAACAGAAATCGATTTCATATAAAATTGCAACCATATAGGACGCATGAATATGAATAAGAAAGAGACAATGTTGCTTAATGCCAGATTATGAATCTTCCCAGGAACACAGCAAATCTTGCCTCACATTCTAAGTCCTTACTAAGGTGCCAACAGACGGGAAAGGCTATCTACAAAGCTGGGGATCACGAGCATGCAGCTCTACAAGCTCCTACAAGCTCCTTTGGGCTAGCTTCTGTGTCGTTCCAATCCCAGTCTGTCAGGATGGAGGGTGTGTTGGAGCTGACTCTGGGAACGTGTCTGCCTAGGTTCTCATTTTCTACCACCTGTATGGGAAATATTTAGTTCTTTGAATTAAGTAGCATTAGCCAAACAACGTGCCCTTGTTTACCTCCAAAAGTTAAACTTCGTTTAATTTCGCTGCGAAAGTTTAACTTCGGCCAGAGCTTGGAAAAAACAAAACAAAACTCTAAGAGCCAGACTAGTCTGTGAAAACAGTTAGCAAATGGCTGCCTTTGATGTGGAAAGCTAGAGTACATTTCTCGGAAGATTCAAAGTTCCTTCGCTGACTCTCCTTCCAGGTCCCTTCCCCCTAACCCCTTCCTTCAGATAGAGGATGGGTGGGGGAAGGGACCTCCTGGCAAAGGAAAATACTCTAGGAAAGGTGACCAAAAGGGGGAGTTTCTGGGGAACAGAGGTGAAAGGGAGACCTTGGGAGGAACCAAGGAGGCAAGCCAGCGAGTGACAGCAGGGACTGAGCTGGGCTGGAGGTGGGTGGGTCGGAGTTAGAAAAGGAAAGTGTCAGGAGCAAAAGAGGGGAGGACCAGGAGCGACGGTCCGGGGCTAGATCCCAGGCCCAGAAGGTACAGAGTGACGTCCCGCACGGGTCTGGTGGAACATGAGGGTCGGCCAAGAAGGGGCTGGGCCAAGAAGTCTGTCCGGCAGGAACACGGTTTAGAGACCGGACGGAAAGGACCCATTCCTAACGTTATGGTCCCTCGTCGCCACCCTCACTCGCCTGCAGGATCCGGGACCGCACTGCCGCCGCTGCCGCCACCACCGCCGCCATGGCTCACCACCGACCCTGCCAAGCACCCTGCTGCTTAGCTGCCAGGGCCTCCAGCAAAGTTGCGCCGCTAGGCCACGCCCTCCACACGGCCCAGCCCTCCCATTGGAGGCGAGAGCTACTTCTCACAACCAATCACTTGTCAGAGCTCTTGACTCCGCCCATTACGCCCAGCCCTGGGAGGCGGTGATTGGTCAAAAGCGGAAGCGTTCTCGCCCGCCCCCTCACTTCAGCCTATTTTTGTTGGCGGAGACAGGGAGACGCCCCCAACTTGGGACTGCATATTAGGCACACAGGGAAGACGCCCCCTGACCGGGAACTACGATTGGCTACAGGTAGGGCCCCCCCCCCCTCTCACGAGGTCCCGCCCCTTTGCTAAGAAAAGTAAATAAAGCTCCTGGAGAATTTTGCCCGTGTTGCACGTCAACCACCACGCCGCGGGCGTAGCTGTTGGCCGGGGTGGGACTAGGCAGATGGTACCCTATGAGGTAAGGAAACGAGACCCGGCCGCGAGTTGAGGATAGGCTGTCTCTGCTAGGGGCGTGGCTTGTGGGTCTCCGCTTTCCCGCCGACGGTTGGTCACGTGACATGGGCTGGAAGATGGCGTCTCCCACGGACGGTAAGAGCCGGCAAGTGGATTGTTGGCCTGCGGTCTCTTTATTTCCTTCTCTGGGGAACTTCCACGGTTTTCACGCTCGCGCCTTATTCTTGATCCCCGATCCTTCGTCTCCCGCTTCTGTTCTCTGGGCTATGTCGGGTTTTCAGCCAGCGGGGATTTCACAGCGTCTTCCTGGGACGCCCTGGTACCGGGTCTCCTCGCTGTGTACTAGGCGGGTGAGGGAGGCCACAAACCAGAGACGCTTTCTGGGGGAAAGGACGGAGGTGGCCCCGGCCCGTCGGTGGTGCTGAGAGTTCAAGAGGGGCTACTGAGGGGAAAGGGAGCTTTCCTTTCCGGCAGGCCCTTTGGAATGTTGGTTCTGTCTCCCAAGCCCTACCGCGATTGGTGACTGACATGAAGGTCTGAGGTTCATCCCTGGACCGAGCCGGGAGAGAAACCTGCTTGTCTGCTCAGTTTAGTACCGTTGCCCTGGCAGCGGGAGATGCGGGGACCTGGTTTCCTGACCCTGAGTTGCGAGGGAATGAAAATTAGACTTGTTCATGTAGTTTCGCACGCATCTCACCCTTAATCTGTCTTTCTTCTACTTTATGTGTTGTTTCTTTAGGCTGAGGGCAGGAACAGTTCTGCTTATCTGTCGTCTAAGGTGCAGGTCACAGCAGGTGGCAATTAGGTGTTTTTGTTATACCCATATGCTTTTGCTTGCGGTTCTGCTTTAGTATTTGGAATTGTCTTTCTGTCATTATTCAATAGCTCAGTATATTCATTGTCAGCACAGTTATTCTGTTAATTTCCCCGGGCCACACCCTATTATAAATGGTAAGTCTGTCTTATTTCATAAATTTAATCCTAGGTTTTAGATCAATGTCTGCAAAGCATTTGGCCTTAAGTTAACGTTTATCCAAAAGCGAAACTGGCCTTTGGTGAGTGACCTCTAATCGCAATTACTTGGGAGATTGAGGCTGGAGGATTGTTGCTTCAGTCTTGCCTAGGGAATTGTAGGCAAAGTATGTCTCAAATAAAAAGTTAGGGTTTGGTTGGTTGGTTTTGTTTGTTTTCTTTTCTTCTTTTTCTTTTTTTTTTTTTTCCTCGACAAAGTTTCTGTGTAGCCATGGCTGCCCTGGAACTTGCTCTATAGACCAGGCTGGCCTCAAACTCAGAATCCCAGCTTTCCAGGTGCGGGGGTTTTTAAAGGCATGTACCACCACCGCCCAACTTCAAATAAAAAAAGTTTTATTTTAAAAAGTGAGGGAGGAAATGGGGCTGACTAGATGGCTCAGTGGTTAAGTGTACCTGCTGCCTTTGCAAAGGACCCAGATTCTATTTCCAGTACTGACATGCTGTCTCACAGCCCTCAGTTCTAGAGGATTTGATCTCCACGGGCGTCAGGCATGCATGTGGTTCACATAACATGCAGACAAAACAGTTAGACACAAATAAATCTAAAAACGGAAATATAAAAAGGGAGGATATAGTTCAATGCTAGAGAGTTTGAGTATCACAAACAAGGCCCTAGATTCAGTCTTTAGTTCTGAAAAGAGTAATTGGATTATTTGCAAAAATAATTACTTGCAAAAAAAATAATTAATTGCAAAAAAAAAAAAAGTTACCAGATTTTTCCCCCTTTCTTCCTTTCTTTTTTTGAGATAGGGTCTCACTGTGTAGCCCAGGTTGGCCTCAAGCTCACTATCCTTCTGCTTTCCTACCTGTGCCTCCAGTATGCTGGGATTAAAACTCGGAACCACTATGCCAGGCCTCTTGATTTTGAAGTTTTAGGTTCATCTGCAACTTGAGTTTTGAGCACATTCACATACCTTAAGAAATTGTGGGTGTTCACAAAAAAAAAAAAAAAAAAATTCTTCAGCCTGGTTGGTTTTGTTTTGTTTTTTCTCTAAAATGTCCTTTTCTCACTAGCAAAAAAAATTAAAATAAAAAAGGGTAGGGTTGGGGAAATGAAGGAAGACATTGTTTTTGTTGTTGTTTTTAAGAATGGGGGTTCATCTTGGTACCTGTGGAGGAAACAGGACTTTTAAAAGTCAATGTCTGGAAGATTGTGGTGCAAGGGCATTTTTTGCTAGATAAATGAGGTCTCTAGAACCAAAGAGCATAGAGCTCTACATAAAATCGAAGGTGTTTATGCCAAGGTGAAACTTAATTCTATTTAGGCAAGAGATGTGCTTAAGTGTATAAATTCAAACATAACACAGTGACTCCTGGAGTCAAACAAAGTCAGAACAATCTGAGGAAAGGTGTGTTGTCCTTGTAGAGATGGTGGCTGCAAAGGCCGGTGGACACAGAATTCATGTAATGCTGTATCCACATACATCTAAACTCATGAAAATTAAACAATTAAAGGGATTTTTGTTTTTAAAGAATTGGGGTCCATGCACTTTGAGATGGAGAAGATTGGGCAAGTGTAGTTTCGGTTATCGTAAGTTTAAGGGGTTTTCTCTACAGGTAAGTGGAGAGAGACATCAAGTAGACTCTTGAACATATGATTCTGAAGTTCAGTAGAAAGGTTGGGACTGGAAATGTAGTCGGTGTTGGTATATAATGGTGACAGTTGTAGAGAGTAAAGCCAGCATAGGATAAGATCTGAGTGCAGGAAACGGAAAGGAATCACTAAGAGAAGAACGAGTGAAAGCAGGGAAGAGGAGCATCACATGCTGTAGAGATGTCCCCTAAGGGAAATGAGTGGGAATAGTTAGTATAGATAAACTTGATAACAGTGGTTACGATGCATGTAAGGACCGAATTATGTTTTTTATAAGTTAAGGAAATGATAGGTCCGGAATTGCTGATAGAAGACCTGAGACTCAGGTAGTATGCAAAAGCAAGGAGCATTTATTCTGCAGATATTTTCAGCATGCTGGAGCCATCATTCCATAGAATGGCAACCCTGAAGTGAGCAAGCAGGCCTAATTTAAAAGCAGTTAGGGGAGTTCCCTAGTGTGATTAGATAATCTTTTCTTTGATTGGTTGGTGCTGACCTAGGGGGTGGGGGCCAGCTTATGATTGGTTCTGCGGTTGGAGGACTTTATGGAGTGTTCAGTAACAAAGAATCATTTTGAATTACTAGACAAAGCCTTTTTTTTTTTTTTTTTTTTTTTTTTTTTTTACTGAACTTTGATTGGTCAAATGCTTGGGGACTTATCTAAATTATTTCTGGTTTTCAGGGAGGTTATTAAGTTATTGTATCTGGTTTCCATGGACTATAGTTCCATGTTCCAAGAAATAGAAACTCATGCTTGTTCAGTCTAAGGCCACTCTTGAAGCCCATCATGGAGTTAGACTCCCCTACTAAAAAATCATTCCCTTCAGAAGAATGTAGAGATTGGGGAGATGACACAGTAGGTAAGCATGCTTGCTCTGCAAATAGGAGGACCTGAGTTTGAATCTCAGGCATTCACATAAAAACAAACAAACAAACAAACAAAAAACAAAACAAAGCAGGCATGGTTGCAGTGTGCCAGTAATGCCAGCATTGTTGGAAGAGGGAGGAACACACAGAAACAGCTGGATCCTCAGAGCTCCTTGGCTAGCCAGTCTAGCTAGCTTCTGGTTTAGCTAGAGACTGTCTCAAGACAATAACCTGAAGTGAAACAAAGACACTTAGCATCCTTTCTGGCCTTATAAGTCATATACCTGCTCATACACTCATTTCACCCATATACCAAACACATGCACATGCCCACACACACACACACATTTACTTGTTCTTTTTGTTGAGATATGGATTCTCTGTGTAGCGTTGGCTGTCCTGAATGCACTTTGTAGACCAGGCTGGTCTCAAGTTCACAGAGATCCACCTGCCTCTGCCTCCCAGAGTGCTGGGATTATAGGCATGCACCACGGCTCCCAGATGTTTACTTGTTTTACAGGACAGGATTTCATTATGTAATCCTGGCTCTCCTAGAAATCACTCTGTAGACCAGGCTGGCCTTGAACTCACAGAGATCCCCCTGCCTCTGCTTCCTGAGTGCTGGGATTAAAAGCGTGTACCAACAAGCCTGGTGCCTAAGTGTTCTTTTAAAAAGCCAAAAAGTAGAAAATTCTAGAGTAAGCTTGCTTTTTGAGTATGGGCCTAAGGTAGAAACTGATAGTACAAGAAGATTGTTTGAAATGCTTATCAAAGCAGAAGACAATGACCTATAGTCTTATAGAGATTCTCTATCCTGAGAGCTGTGACACTTAGCTGATTGTAACCAGAGGAAAGTTGAAGAGTAGAACAAATACAAGTGGATTTGCTGATACTTTTTACAAGGGCTTTTGCTGTACAGTCTGGGCTGGCCTGGAACTCTTAGCGATCCTACCTTAGTCTCCCAAATGCTGGGATTACAGATTGAATCCCCATGTCCAGCTAATACTCATTTTTCTAAGCAGTCCTTAATTTTCTTTTCAAAAATTTTATGGGTATGGGTATTTTGCTTGCATGTATGTCTCTGTACTACATGTGTTCTATCTGGAATTATAGACAGTTGTGAGCTTCCATGATGTGCTGGAAATTGAACCTGGGTCCTCTGAAAGAATGGTCAGTGCTCTTAACCACGGAGACCTAACTTTCTTAAATACTCCTTTTTAATAGAGTGGAAGTCTGAGTTTTGATGAGGGAGAATCAAATTTATTTGTACTATTTTGTGTCCTAATAGCATCAGTAATTCAGATCTCTAAACTTCTAATTGAGTGTTTCAGGCTATGTTCTTTGAGATTGAAATAATAGTAAAATATAAATGTGTTTCTCATCTCATCTTGGTGTTCTAGGAACCGATTTGGAAGCATCTTTGCTAAGTTTTGAGAAACTTGACCGTGCCTCCCCAGATCTTTGGCCGGAACAATGTAAGTTTTTACTTTTCTCATATTAGAATTGAATGCGGGAGAGTCAGTGCTCCCTTAGGAGAATTTTGAAGTGTTATCATGTATCTATGATGACTAAAGTTTTTTAATTCATTTCAGAGAGAAGAGGTTGACGTGTGGCTTAATTTTTCAGAACATTGTGAGATGAGGTGATAAGGAGCTTTTAAACAAGAATTACAGTTTTAAAGCTCCATCTGTAATAATTTCAGATTATACTGAGATGCACAAACTGTTTCTTCATCTTTTTATCTCTCTTATAAAGTTAAATACTGTTAGTAATTTTGTTCAGACTGGTTTGGACTTTTATCCTTATATAGATAAGCATATATATATATATGTATAATATATGTATTTCACACACACACAAGGGTTTGTCTTTCATAAAGATGAAGTCACTTGTATAGAGACTTCAGCCTAATTTATGTAAGCTAATAATTTGATGAATCTTTCCATGTTGATCTTTGTAGGTCTACTTTATTCTTTTAAATATTCTATAATGAGTAGGTATATTCTGTATATTTTAGTTTCTTTTCTTTTTTTTTTTTTTTAAGAATTCTGGAATCCTTTTTTTTTTAAGATTTATTCATTTATTATATATACAATGTTCTGCCTTCATGTGTAACTGCATGCCAGAAGAGGGCACCAGATCTCATTATAGATGGTTGTGAGTCACCATGTGATTGCTGGGAATTAAACTCAGGACCTTTGCAAGAACAGCCAGTGCTCATAACCTCTGAGCCATTTCTCCAGCCCTCTAGTTTTCTATATTTACATTCTATTTGGAAACCCAAGTTACCTAATTTTTATTGCATAAATCAACAAGTATCCTTGAATGTATGTCCTGTATGTAGAAGAGGATGACTGCCCGTTTTCTCATTGTTACTGCTCATTATTACGTTTAGATTTCACTTTTTTTTAAATTAAATGCTATTCATGTATGTATCAGGGTGAGGGAGGCACCCATGAGCTATGATGTACATATGGAGGTCAGAGGAGAGCTTGTAAGAGTCAGTTTTGTCCTTTTACCATAAACCTGGGAATCTACAGTTTAGGCTGTTGGACTTGTGCCTTTCCCCACTGAGCCCTAGCTTATATTTCCTAATTAATAGAACTGAACATTATTTCACTTTACATATGTAATTGTTGCTTTTTTTGCTTTTCAGGGTGATACTATCTATAAGACATTTGAGTAAATAATTTGATAAGCCAAACAAGACAACTGAAAAGAATGTTTAGTTTGCTTATTTTTATTTATTTACTTATTTATTTGTTGCCCTGGGGATTGAACCCAAGGTTTGCTGGATGCTAGATGAGCACTCTACCTACCGTTGGTCTAAATCTCTAATTGTAGAAAGGAAAGTTAAACTTCCTGATGAGAAATTGCTCACTGTTCTCTAGGCCAAATCCTGGTCCTTTAAAGCAGAACACATTGGTTTCTCAGAGAAGCTACTTCTGTCATTTTGATTTAGAGTTCTGTCTTTTTGTCTTCCTCTAGCACCTGACATTTATCCAAAATACTTAAAAGAATGTTATTGATCTGTGCTTTGTCCTCTTCTAGATTGCAAGATCCTTGAAGGCAAAACTTTTGTATTTTAAATTTTTGATTTGTTTGCTTGCTTCTGTCATTCATTCATTCATTCATTCATTCATTCATTCATTCATTCATTCATTCATTTTTGAGACAGGGTTACTCTGTGTAACAGAGCTGTCCTGGACTCCCTCTGTAGACCAGGCTGGCCTCCAACTCACAGAGATTCCTTGCCTCTGCCTCCCAAGTGCTGGGATTAAAGGCATCCACCATTATTACTCCCTTGACACCCCTTCACCCCCCAAACCCTGGCAAGACTTTGTGTTTTATTATTTGAATTCTCTGTGCCTGTGCCTCATGTTTCTTGCATGAATAACATTTTTTTTTTCTTTTCTAGTACCAGGTGTTGCTGAATTTGCAGCTTCTTTCAAAAGTGTAAGTAACAGCTGTGTCTACAGAAGGTTATCCAAAATTTGCCCTTTGATAAAATCTCAAATTTTTATATTCAAGACTAATGGCATAGTCCTTTAGTCATTTTTTTATTGTATACCTTTAAATGTATTTATATTATCATATTGTTAACTGCTGATAATCCCTTCCTCCGTTTAAATGCTTTATTTTGACATTCTGACCCTTGTCTGTTAGTTTCTTTTCTCAGCTCAAAGGCTTTATGGTTAAGCAGTTGAAATATTTGATGTAACATTGGTGTTCTGTTTACCCCAACTATAATTTTGAAACTTTTTAAAAAGTTTATGTGGAAGTTGGTTCTCTGTCTTTAGTATGTGGCTCCTGGAGTTTTAATTGAGGTCATCAGGTTTGGCAACAAGTTCACTTACCTGCTGAGCCATAACTCAGGCCCAAGGTTATGTTTGCTTAACCTTAGTCTGCATGGCAGAATTGTACATAGTTGCAAAGCTTTTCAAAGTTATTTCTTTTTGTTTTTTAATCCTTAGCTCTGTTTTTTCTCATAGTCCCTCTTAATGGCCAGGATTTGGGTTTTGCGTAGGGGTGAGCGGGGGAGATGATCTCACTGTGTCGCGTCTTAGTCACTGTTATATTGCTATGAAGAGACACCATGACCAAGAAAACTTATAAAAGAAAGCATTGAATTTGGGGTTTGATTACAGTTTCAGATATCATCATGCAGGGGTGGGGAACATGGCAACAGGTAGGCATGGAGCAGTAGCTGAGAGCTTACATCTTATCCACAAGCACCAGGCAGATGTAGAGTGAGACCTGGAATGGGCCTTTGAAACGTCAGAACAAACTCTGAGTGACACATTTTCTCCAACAAGCTCATACCTCCTAATCCTTCCCAAACAGTTCCACTAATGAGGGACCAAGTATTCAAGCATATATGCTTATAGGGGATGTTCCCATCAAACCACTATAGTAATCCAAGCTGACCTTGAACTTGTTTTTTTTTTTGCCTCAGGTTTTACTTGGATTGCAGTTTATCTAACTATGTCCATTAACATTATTTTTAGAGCTATGTAGGTGATTCTCTTATGCAACTCAATTTTAAAGCTACTACTGATATTACAAATGGGCTTTCATAATTTTAGGTTTACTTATACAAATGTGAAGATACATAAAATATTGAAAATTTCCAAAAACTTCTATAATACAATGAAATCTGGCTGGTGAAGTGGCTCAGTAGGTAAACACATTTACCATTAAGCCTGATGACCTAGGACCTACGTGTGGGAGAACTAACTCGCACAAGTTACCCTCTGACGTCCACATATCTGCTTATGGCACATGCATGTTCTATTCCCACCCTCCCATCACACAAAGAAATAAATGAAAAAATAATTTAATGATCACCTTTCAAGTGATGACCATTTTATTCGAGTTGAGTTTTATTCTACTTTCTGTCAGAAACTGTTACTGATTGTTGTTTCAAACAGTTCAGTTGGAGTCTATCATAAGAAAGAATTTTAAGTAATTTCATTATTGAACTAACTGATGCATGAAACAGTAATATTAACTGCACCAAAATTAATCTGAAACTGCCTTTCTGAGACCAACTTTATAATTGGGCAAAAGTATTATGTAAAATGACTTTTTGAAGTCAAAATTGAACCTACACACCCAGTTTTTAAAATTTTATTTATTTACTTATTTTATGTCTGGGTATTTTGCCTGCATTTTGTCTGTGTACCATATTTGTGCCTGGTGTTCAAGATCCCTTGTGACTGAGGTTGTGGATGGTTGTGGGTGCTGAGAATCAGTGGGTTCTCTGGAAGAACAGTCAGTGCTCTTGCCCGCCATCTCCTGTTTGCCAGGATTTTTGAACAGTCTGAAGACTGTGTGACAAACCGCTTTCTTAGAAGACTGTACCTGAATGGATATACTCTTGTTTTCTGACAGCCTATCACCAGCTCTCCACCTAAATGGATGGCCGAAATAGAACGTGATGACATCGATATGTTGAAAGGTGTGTGATGCTGCTCTCTACTGTCTTTGATTTTTGGTTTGGTTTGGTTTTTTGAGACAGGTTTTCTCTGTGTAACCCTGGCTGTCCTAAAACTCTCTGTAGACCAGGCCGGTCTCAAACTCAGAGATCTGCTTACCTCTTCCTGACTGCTGAGATTAAAGGTGTGTGCCATCACAACTCTCCAGCTTGTTTTTGTTTTTAACTGTGTCTCATTCTATTGCTCAGTTTGCTCTCTGAGCTCATGAGCTCAACCAGTTCTTGTGTGCCAACCTCTTAAGTATCTGGGACTAGTAGCGGCCACCAAGCTTTGGCTGTCCTCTAACTTTTGCTCTTATATGTTCGTCCTTCCACAAAGTACTGCAGTCTCTCTGTCACAGCTGCCTTACACTGTTCTCGGCTTCACACTACCTGCTTCGCTGTCTTAGTTCTTCATGGAATTCTTGCCTCTACTTTTTGCATGTGTAGAAATCCAGCCCATTCAAGAATGAGTCACTGTGAATTCCTTCACTTTTATTCTTTTTAATATTAACTTAATTATGTATAATGCTTACAGTGGACAAAAAAAATCCCTTACATAAATTTCTTCCTGAATCGTGAAGGCCCTGTTAGGTATGATAAATAACCAACGTTTGGAGATAAGATGGCCAGTATTTATAAGTTTATAAATTTAAAATTTTTGATCTTTTAAAGTCTAGTCTCCACTATAGGAGAAGTGCCTTATTTTAAAGATTTAAGCCATATATTGTCCTTTTAATTATATTAAATATTTTAAGTACTTTAAATATTTAAATACCATTAAATAACAGCTCCTTAGTGCAGCAGTTCTCAACATGTGGGTCAAGATTCCTTTGGGATTTAAACTGCTCTTTCACAGGGGTCGCATATCAGATATTCTGCACATCAGATATTTATATTACAATTCCTAACAGTAGCAAAATTACAGTTATGAAGTAGCAACAAAAATAATCTTATGGTTGGGGGTCACTGCAACATGAGGAACTGATAAAGAGTCACAGCGTTAGGACGGTTGAGAACCGAGCCATTAGTGGGTTAAGACTCATCTTTTATTTCTTTCTATCCTTTCACTTTATTTCATCAAGAATTCTATGAGCAGTGAATACTGTTGCTTGATAAATGATTTAGAATCCAGTCATAATAGAAACTTAAATTTAAAAAATCATTAATTTTATGATTTTGCTCTTTTTAAAAACATCATTCTTACAGTGTTAAGAATTGTGATGGTGATGGCGGCTCACGCCGTTAATCACAGCACTCCAGAGGCAGAGACAGGCGGATCACTCTGGGTCTGAGGTCAGCCTGCTCTACAGAGTGAGCTCCAGTACAGCCAGGGCTACACAGAGAAACCCAGTCTCAAAAATAAATAAACAAACAAACAAACAAACAAGTAAATTACAAAAAAAATCGTGGTGGTAAAGTAATAGACTGAAACTGAGGTAAAGGTCAGGGATTCTTAAGCTATTTCAGCAGCTGAGCCTGTCAAGAGAGTCGCATCTGCTCGATGCAGGTAAGACTGCAGAATGAGTGGAAGACCAGAACTTTGTTACGTGGTTTCAGAAGTAGTTCACTGTCTGCATGTTTAAATGCCCATTTCCTCCCCAACCCATGGAAAGATTGTCCAAGGCATCTCAAATTCACTGTCCTTATCATTTATATTATAAATGATAAGCATGTATTTCCTAAGAAAACTTTAACTGTTTATCGAGAGTTCACATAATGTTATGTTTTATGTAAACCGACCTCTAGTTTAAACAAGAAATTAGGTGCTGTCAAATGAAAATCTGGGGAACACCTTATATTTTAAGCAAGTATAATTAATTGTAAATAAAATAAGCAAATATTGGATTTGAAGGGAAAGTTTGGGTTTATATTTAGTTTTTGTTTTCTATAGTTGGGGACATGGTGAACAGTATTTTGTTGCTGTTATTTGGTATTAAATATAGTTGAAGTCATGGTACTTATCAATGGAGACATCTGTTTTACATGGCCAAGATGTGTCTGCAAGGTTTTCTCAAGGCTTCATATTTTAATGGTTTATTCATTTTGTGTGACGGGCAAAAGTGAGTGTTATAAACAGATCCTTGAACTAAAACACTTGGGCAGATGAGGTGACTCAGCCTTAAAGTCGCTTATCACCAACCCTGAGGAGCTGAGTTGGCTCTCCAGAACCCACAAGACAGAAGGAGAGAATTGACTCCTTCAGCTTGTTCTCTGACCTGCATATAGTGTGCACAAACACACACTAAATCAATTCAAAAATAAAAATGTTTTTAAACCCCAGTTAATGTCGAGGTGTTTTTGCAGTAGCAGAAAGCCTCACTGTTTTTGCTGAAGAGTATGTAAAATGGGAGGAGATGAAATAAGGATCTGTTTATTCAGTAAGGGATTAAACTTGAAATCCTCCCTACCCTCTTACTGCTGGCAATCAGGTCCAGGACTTCCTGTGTGCTAGGCCAGTGTTCTGACATTCAGCAGTGCCCAGCCCAACTTGAAATAGTTTATTACAAGAACAGTCAACTCAAATCAGTTGTTACTATAGACCAGTGGAAAGAAGTGATATTAAAATAAACTCTTCTGTTTCAGAACTGGGGAGCCTCACCACAGCTAATCTGATGGAGAAGGTACGGGGCCTACAGAACCTGGCCTATCAGCTGGGGTTGGATGAGTGTGAGTACCCAATTAATTTTATACAGGGTTACGTGTGTATATTCTGTTACGAGTTCTAGTTATAACTCATGAAAATATAATTTTCCTTTTACTAAGGCAAAGACAAGCCATCTGAAGGTAAGAACTCAGCTAACTTTGTACTTTTCTGACTGAATGTGCTAGAATATTGACTGTACTTAATAGATAAAAATTCTTTGTGCAGTACACATCTTTTGGTTAAAAGTGATAGGATATCAGCTAAAACAAGCTCAACCTAAAGAGGGACTTTATCAGTTCAATTAGTATGTTAAAATCCAGGGGTACAAATAAATCTGTGGCCCTTAATGATGTTATTGGAGTGTATTCTTCTTGCTTTTGTCTGTCTAGATCACACTTTACTCCTGTCATTAGTGTTCGAGTCTTGCTGCTGCCAGTAGCGTTTTGCCAGCACGAGGGAAGGCGAGCAGAAAGAGATCCAGTTTGTGACTTTGAATCTCATGATTCCCAAAGGAAGGAAGTGTGTCTTTTCTGGGTGTTCCAAAAGAAAGGTGCTGGGAGAGAATTCTGTGTCCGAGCCAGTCCTTTGGTGATAGCTTGTGTGCTCTGAGGCACCAGGCCTCAGACACAGTTGAGAGGGCTTGATCTGATACAGATCACCAGCAACAAGAGAGATATCGAAATAATGTAAGAATAGGAAAACAGGGTAGGCTATTGAATCTACTCTTATAGATCTTTGTATATTGTATATTTGTTTATTTGTATATAGATCTTTGTATATTAATCTTGATTGTACAAGATTAAGGTTATAATTTGTTACATTGGTGTAGATCCTTTGCATATGGATACAAAATTAAGATTATATTTTGGCTACAGCATACCATGTATCAACTCAGGCATTGTACTTACTTAATTCTTACAGTCCAATGTGAAGTTCTAGTCCTTTTGAAAGCTACTATTACAAACTGTTTAGAATAATTAAGAAATGCAAGCTAATAGTCAAACTTGTGATTTTTGTTAGGTACTAGTTTAGTTAATCACAGGTGTTTGCTAAGTTAATCAGTTAGTATATAACTAGAAACATTGGTTTCCTAAAGAAACAGATACATGGCAGTCTAAGAACACAGCTGCTTTTTGTGAGTGGTACTTTATTTCACAAGATGGCTCAGTGGGTAAAATGCTTGCTACCAAGTCTGATGACCCAAGTTCAACACTGCTTGTACACGCGTGCATGCACGCACACACACACACACACTCAGTTGTATGTAAAACATTTTTTAAAAATTTCTCATTTGTGTCCATATGCCCATCTTTGGATGCTGACACTGTGGCTCATACCTTTAATCCCAGTACTCAGAAAGTAGAGACCGGAGGATCTTTGAATTTGAGCCTAATCAAAGCTATATTGTGGGTCTCTGTTTCAAAAACCAAAACAACAACAAAAATGTAATTCTTTGGGCTGGTAATTTCCCTCAGTATTAAAGTACTCACGTGCTATGTATTATGTACTATGTTTTGATTTATGCTTTTACATTAGAAAACAAAGTTTAATTGAGTATGATGGTGCATGCCTATACAAATAACCACAGCACTCAGGGTGCCGAGACAGTGGAATCATGAGTTTGAGGCCAGTGTTGGCTACATAGCAAGGCCCTGTTTCAAGAAACCAAAGAAATTTTAAAGATAATTTCTTTATATACTGTCTCTCTTTTCATATGACATTCATTAGTTAGATTTTACAGAAAATTCTCACTTGGTAAATGAAAGAAGATGTAGTTATTATCACAATGATTGGAACCTTGTTCTCAAGCAGTGAAGTTTATGTCTTGGCAGAATTAATTAATGCTAAGTGTGTTATGGCTGCCCAGGGTTTATAATGAGAAGGCAGATTTGTGGTTGTTGAATTCATAGAACTCCTTACTTGTTTCTATAATCAATGCCTTATCTGTACCATTTTAATGGCAGTAAACTTTATGCTTGTCATATCAAGGAGATGCTGCTACCAACTGTACCATCTCTAGTTGTAGCAGCTGAAGTTGCTTAATTCTGTCTAATCTTTATCTGCTGAGAAAAGATTTCCCCACTTTTTATTACAAAAAAACCCAAACAGACTAAAGTGGAGAACAGAATAATAAGATGATATATCTATAACTCAGTTTTTGTAATTAGCATATGTCCAGTTTGGTCTCATTATGAGTAGCCTCTCACAGCATCATGGTCATTCTGATGCTAGCCCAGTGCACTGTATTACCACTAGTGCCAAATAACTTCAGTTATATTTCCAGAAGATAAGGCTTTAAAAACACTGTAACCACATTTCCATTATCCTTATTTTTTAAAGGAATGTTATATGGTGGTGCACACCTGTCATCGAACTTTTGGGAGTCTGAGGCAGAAGGATTATGAGTTTGAGGTCAGCCCTCTGGGTCATATAGTGAGTTCCAGACCAGCCTGGGCTATCTTGGCAACTCTTCCATGTAGAAGGAGTGGGGAGAAGGTATCTTAGCATGTTTTTCTGGGTGGTCTAAAACTCATGGCTCAAATGATTTTTCTTCCTCAATATCCCAAATATCTGCACTACAGCCTGTCTATTCTCCACTAGCGTTTTACCCGCAGTAGCAGCCTTTGAATTACTGTCAAGTTCCATGATTTTATTAAAGGTTGTAAGATTGTGATAATCTTATTTTGTCATCGCTTTTTATTTAGAACTTTATTATAAAGAACAAGTGACCAACTATTTGATGACCTCAAAAGTTGTTCCTTTTAGAATTACAGGGTAAATGGTTCATTTTACTTAACAGTTTTCAGAATAATGAGTTTATTCCCAAGCCGGGTGCAGCGGCAAACACCTGTAATCCCAGCATTCTGGGAGGCAGAGGCAGGCAGATCTCTGTGAATTTGAGGCCAGCCTGGTCTACAAAGTGAGTCTAGGATAGCCAAGGCTACACAGAGAAAACCTGTCTCAAAAAACAAAACAAACAAACAACAAAAAAATAGTTTATTCCCTAAGCATAATGAAGTCTATTTTAATGGATTCCCACAATATAAAAATCCACAATTTGGGCTGGAGAGACGGCTCAGCAGTTAAGAGCACTGACTGCTCTTCCGGAGGTCCTAGGTTCAATTCCCAGCAACCACATGGTGGCTCACAACCATCTGTAATGGAATATGATTCCCTCTGGTATACATAAGAACAGAGCATTCACACAACGAATGAATGAATGAATGAATGAATGAATGAATGAATGAATGAACGAACGAACAAATAAGTGGATGGATGGATAGATAAATAAATCTTTTTAAATGCCCACAATTAAAATATTATTACTGCTGACTGTTTTTAATATAATTTTAAGTTTTAAAATTTTTATTATTAAAAGAAACCTGCAAATAATAGTGCAAGCATTTAATCCCAGCATTTGGGAGGCAGAGACAGGTGGGTTGCTATGAGTTCAAGGCCTGCCTGGTCTAAATAGAGAGTTCCAGCACAGCCAGTGATTAGAAAAGTCCTGTCTCAAAAAACAAAACAAAACAAAAACCTTGCAAGTAAATAAAAATTTCATGCCCCAAAATTAACCAGACTCTAAGTCTAATTCAATTCAATGAATTTCTGTACAGTTAGAATATGCATACAGAGTGGAAGCTGTGGGGCTTCACATTAAATTGTGCACTTTCTTTTTTAATGATTTATTTATTTTTTTTATGTACATTGATGTTTTGCTGCTTGTATGTCTGTGTGAGGGTGTTGGATCCTCTGGAACTGGTTACAAACAGTTGTGAGCTGCCATGTGGCTGTTGGGAATTGAACCCGGGTCCTCTGGAAGAGCAGCCAGTGCTCTTAAGTGTTGAGCCATCTCTCCAGCCGCAAATTGTGCACTTTCAATATTGATATTTTATGCACTTTGGCGGTGGATAAGTTAAGTGCAAACACACGTTTGTGTACACACATTTGTGCAGCAGTCAGAGAGCAACTTGGGAAAGCTGATTGTCTTTCTGTCTGTGGGCCAGGGAATTGAAGCCAGGTTATTAGGTTCAGTAGTGAAATTTCTTACCCACCGAGCCATCTTTACTGCCAAGTATTTGTATTTCTAAGAACTGTTGGGACTGGGGTTAGTTGCAGTCACCTAATTCTTAATCAGTGAACTTTTTTTTTTTTTAATTGAGGTAAGAAAATACTTGAAGTAAGAAATGGAAAGGATTACATTGATACTGTATCAGACTTCTTGGATACAGTCTCTTTCTTTCAGAGTGTATGGTGTATTTGCATAAAAACCTCTTTTTTTTTTTTTTGTCCCTTAAATTATTCATCTACTCTAGGGGTTGTCTTTCATTTGACACCTTAATCTGGTGTTCTGATGTCTCAGTATTCTTTCTTCCATTAATTGAAAGAATGACATGGGTGAAAAATAAGCAGGAGGAACTGGTGAATCCCAGAGGACCAGTGATACTGTTTTCATGCAAATATCTGCCCTGATAAAGATGATGAGATGAAAAAAACACAAAAAATATTTAGCCTTGAAACATGATTGTCTTTTCGCAGTATTGTTAAATGTTAATGTAGGAATAACAAGCCAGTTCTAGTGCTGATAGTAGCTACATTGTATCTTTTGGAAGATGAGACTTCCCCTTTGGTTTGGTATATGGTTATATGTCAGATGAGCCTTTTGGTGTACAGATGATAGAATGCAAGAACTTCTTTTTATAGATTTGTTTCATTTTTAAGGCACTTTTCCCATTCTTTGAGATTTGTTATTTGTTTGAACTCTTGGATTAAATGTAACTTTTTAAAATAAAATTCATTTTTTGAAGCTGCCTTTGCAGTCTGTGGACCAACTGACAAAATAGCAAATTTGCAGTGTGTAAACTTTTCCTGGTGGAATGAAGGGATGGTCAGTTACTGATGCCCTTAGATGGAATGACCCATGGTATCTAATGAAGCTGTGGCTTAGAGCTGAAAGGATGACGGCTTCCAAAAATCCTCTAGTGTTAGGTAATTGCTGATGTAGTGGTGAAAGGATGTCTGAAGCTCCTGTGAGAGTTTCTTCTGGTAACATGAAGCGTGTTAATTGTTTGGCTGCATCTGCTTGAACTGTGCCTGATCACCATTATGACGTGGGCGTGAGGCTGACTTAGTCCTGTAA